CACCAAAATTATAGCACCCACCAAAACTATAGCAACCACCAAAACTATAGCAACCACCAAAACCCTAGCACCAGTTCCACGTCTCCTACACTGACTCAGTCACCAGTGAAAGTTAAGGACCTTGAGAGTTTTAACCCAAACAAATAGCCTCGAATCATCTGTTTACGTCGAGCTGTTGCAACAAATGACGAGATGAATACGCTGTGCAAACTCCGCACTACTCAGTGGGATATAGTCTCTCTCGTCAAGTTTTCCAGCAGTAGAAAATCCCTCAAGATGGATCCGATAAGAGCCGTGTTATCGACTAGAAGAGCGCGTCTGTCAGAGAGGGGACTGATGGTTAATATACGGCATTGATTTCTGACGATTCTCAGTTCTAATGGGGGGGGGGGGGTATTTCTGATTTGTGGCAATTTTTGGTCTGTTGATTTGTTGATTTGTTTTTGTTTTTTGTACCTTTAATTTATTGGACTATTTTTGGTGCTGTTAAATTTGTGCACTTCTCTGCTACCCTTAATTTGGTTCGTTTCTGTTAAATGTGTGCACTTTTCTGAAACTCCTGAATGTAGCACTATTTTTTTTTCTGATACTGATTTCTTATTTTGTTAACTTTAGTTAGCTGGATTATTTAGTTTTTCTGTTATTTTCTGTCTGTTTGCTCTAATTTTCCACCACATTTGGCGGGGTATATAAACGTAAATAAACGTAAATTATGTCAGTCTAAAACTTATGAAGCTGTCGGACTAACGTGTGGTCAGTAAATAAAAACTGTTGAAAAATTGTCTGGTTTTGCGGAGATATGCCGCTACTTTGACATATAAGCATGCGACAGCAGAATGAGGTAGTTGGAATGTGACGTAGTTGACATGTGCAGTCTAATGACGTTATACCGATGAAAATAACGGTGTTTGAAAGTGGAGGTAACTGTAATTAACAATATATAATAATGTATGTTGCATTAGTGTAATGTTGATTACAGTACTGGTTACATTATGTAACCGTCACTGTAAGTGTTAGAAAAATTACATTTATGAAACCAGCACTAGCGGTAACAATGGAGTGACGTCGTTGGTACAGTCTAGTGCTAGATAACGTGTGTGTGTGTTTGCTTGTGTGTGGGTGAGTGGGTGTGGGGAGAGGGTGGTGCGGGATGTTAGCAGTGTCATGCTTGATACAGTCTAGTGCTAGATAACGTAAGTGTGTGTGTTGTGTGTGTGCTTTCTTTTGTGTGGGTGAGTGAGTGAGCGAGGGTGTGTGTGTGGGGGTGAGTCAGGCGGACAAATCTACAATTCCATGCTCCAGTCACCCTTACAGCTGTCTTGGTGTTTGGGTTGATACAGTCTAGTGCTAGTTAACGTGTGTGGGTGGGTTGTGCGTGAGTGAGTGTGGGTGTGGGGAGGGGGTGAGTCAGACGGACAAATCTACAATTCCATGCTCCAGTCACCCTTACAGCTGTCTTGGTGTTTTGGGTTGATACAGTCTCGTGCTAGTTAACGTGTGTTGGTGGCTTGTGTGTGTGTGCTTGCTTGTGTGTGGGTTGTGTGTGTGCTTGCTTGTGTGTGAGTGAGTGTGTGAGGGAAGGGGGTGAGTCAGACGGACAAATCTACAATTCCATGCTCCAGTCACCCTTACAGCTGTCTTGGTGTTTTGGGTTGATGCCACATGATATGTCGAGCGAAGAATTTTTTTTTCCTTCTCTCAGACCAACATTATGGTATTGATCTTTTACATCCGTCCAATCGGGGGGGGGGGGGGGGGGGCAGTGGCTAATAATGGCGATTACTCATTTTTATCGTATTTCGTTTTATTCCTGATCGTCGCCCCGCGGTACCCCCCCCCTCTCCCCCCACCCTCGTATCCAATTGACGGCATGCTGGTTTAAGAGAGTACATCGACAGGACCACGTGAAGAGTTAGAATTGAGGTGGATTACTAATGACAGATATTGATATTGCCATTATCTAAATTGCCACGTGCATTTTGTATAATGTTAAAAAAAAAACAGTTTTCATTTTGTCGGTGTGGGATTTTTTTTTTTAACTGTTATCAAAATATTTCAGTCCAGAAATTTAAAATTATTTTTTGTTGAACTGGAGGGGTCAGCCGCACTAGGGCATAATGAGTTGTGGGGGGAGGGGGGATAGACAGGGTGAAGGGGGATGTCTTGAGTTTTGTGCTGTTTCCGTGTTGCATATTGATAATTCCAGATACTGTTTTAAAGAGGGTACGGTCCGGTCTCGAGTCTTTACTCTAACTCAGCTCTAATGGGTACCTAGCCTAAAGACTAAAGCTGTCTGCTGGCCGGCATATAACTTTATGTCTGATAACTTGTAGATGTGCTTTATTTCCATCTTGGTTTGTTAGGGCCGTTTTATCCTTTGAAGTAGCTCGTGTTGATTCAGTTGTCGTTTTCGTTTATGTGTTATGAAAATAAAACGTTTACTTTCATCATTAGTGAAATGTGGGCGTGTCCTTTTTGGGCGAGAAGAGAGGGGTGGGTAAATTGAAAAGTATAACCAAATATTAGGTTTATACGGGTGTTTTGAATTGCAAAATATTTGGTTTAGAGAGGGGTGTTTTTTTTGCGTATACAAGTATTTGGTTTATATGGGTGTTTTTCTTTTGTCAGTTATTGGGTTCAAGATGGTGTTTGTCTGTGTTATTTGTTAATTGTTTATAGGATGTTTTTGTATAACCACATATTAGATTTAAAAGGGTGTTTTTGTATTGCCAGATATTAGATTTAAAGGGGTGTTTTTGTATTGCCAGATATTAGATTGAAATGAGGGTTTTTGTATTGCCAGATATTAGGCATGAACTGACGTGATTCTCTCTATTTTCCAGATCCTGCACATGCACATGGGGCAGGTGGAGAAGGGCCCCCTGACGGCGGAGGGATCCTCCCTGCAGATCAAGTGCAAGAACTTCATGTGTATCACTCTGGTCATCCCCCGGGAGAGGGACTGTCAGGACATTTATCTCTCCCTGCTAGAGTTCTCCCGGCCAGGTAGGCTTGTCTCCCCTGCTAGTTCTCTAGGTAGGCTTGTCTCCCCTGCTAGTTCTCTAGGTAGGCTTGTCTCCCCTGCTAGTTCTCTAGGCCAGGTAGGCTTGTCTCCCCTGCTAGTTCTCTAGACCAGGTAGGCTTGTCTCCCCTGCTAGTTCTCTAGGCCAGGTAGGCTTGTCTCCCCTGCTAGTTCTCTAGGCCAGGTAGGCTTGTCTCCCCTTCTAGTTCTCCAGGCCAGGTAGGCTTGTCTCCCCTGCTAGTTCTCTAGGCCAGGTAGGCTTGTCTCCCCTGCTAGAGTTCTCCAGGCCAGTTAGGCGTGTCTCCCCTGCTAGTTCTCCAGGTAGGCTTGTCTCCCCTGTTAGTTCTCTAGGCCAGGTAGGCTTGTCTCCCCTGCTAGAGTTCTCCAGGCCAGGTAGGCTTGTCTCCCCTGTTAGTTCTCCAGGCCAGGTAGGCTTGTCTCCCCTGTTAGTTCTCCAGGCCAGGTAGGCTTGTCTCCCCTGCTAGTTCTCCAGACCAGGTAGGCTTGTCTCCCCTGCTAGTTATCCAGACCAGGTAGGCTTGTCTCCCCTGTTAGTTCTCCAGGCCAGGTAGGCTTGTCTCCCCTGCTAGTTCTCCAGACCAGGTAGGCTTGTCTCCCCTGCTAGTTATCCAGACCAGGTAGGCTTGTCTCCCCTGCTAGTTATCCAGACCAGGTAGGCTTGTCTCCCCTGCTAGTTATCCAGACCAGGTAGGCTTGTCTCCCCTGCTAGTTATCCAGACCAGGTAGGCTTGTCTCCCCTGCTAGTTATCCAGACCAGGTAGGCTTGTCTCCCCTGCTCCAGGCCAGGTAGGCTTGTCTCCCCTGCTAGTTATCCAGACCAGGTAGGCTTGTCTCCCCTGCTCCAGGCCAGGTAGGCTTGTTTCCCCTGCTAGTTCTCCAGACCAGATAGGCTTGTCTCCCCTGCTCTCTGGTCTCAACACATCACACCACGGTGTTTCTAGGAGATCTATGTTTTATCTATCTAATCAAAGAGCCCCATGATTTAACTATCTAATGAAAGAGACCTATGTTTTTGTTATCTATATACTTAAAGCTCCTTATTCGTTATCTATGTAATCAAAGAGCTCTATGTTTTGTTATCTCTATAGGCACAAGAGTCCAGTATTTTGTTACTTATCTAATCTAAGAGCCCCATGTGTTAGTTATCTCCCCAGAAGCACCAGTTTTTGTTTTTTGGCTAATTATTAATTATCCAATATCACCTATGTTACTATTAACATCTACCCCCCCCCCCCCCCCAATCATCAGCTGAGATCAACAAACTGTACGCCTTTGACTTCATCTTCAATGAGCACCCGGACAAGTCCCATGGCTGGGACGCCTTTGACCTCCAGTCCGAGTTCCTCAGGATGGGGGCGCCCAACGAGAACTGGATGATCACCAACCTTAATCAAAAATACGAGGTGAACTTTCTGTTATTCGTCGGGCGTCTTTGGTTAAATAACAAGCATCTTTTGTTAAGTCCCAGGCATCTTTTGTAAAGTCACAAGAATTTTTCATACAGTCACAAAAATATTTAGTTAATCTACAAGTATCTTTTGTATAAGGTCACAAGCAAGTCGTATCCGTTCTAAGAATGCGCTTTTTCTCACCATGGCGTTGTCGTAATATTTAATAGATTCTATCTAATTATTACGTTCACTTTGATTGATGCTATTTTGGTGGTGAGGAGAGTTCAACAGGGATCATGTCATCACATGGGCCTATTCACATTTTGACCTACACACATAGACCTACTGATGTTGTGAACAACTCACACAAACCTACTCATGTTGGGACCTACTTACACAGACCTACTCATTTGGGACCTACTCACTCTGTAATCTACTCTCACTGTGACCTCACACTGACCTACTCATATTGTGACCTACTAATATTATGACCTACTCTTGCTGTGCCCTACTCTTGCTGTGACCTACTCTTGCTGTGACCTACTCATGTATGTTGTTTATGACCCCCCCCCCCCCCCCCCCCCACAGCTGTGTGACACCTACCCCAGCCTGCTGTACGTGCCGTCGTCTGGTACCACGCACGTCCTTGTGGGGAGTTCAAAGTTCAGGAGCAGGGGAAGACTACCCGTCCTGTCGTACCTGCATTCAGAGAACCAGGTGAGTGTCGCAATTCAGATGATACTTGGCTGCTGATACGTCCTTGACAACACCCCCCCCCCCCCCCGCCCTTATACTGCTTTTGTTCGGTTTCTTACTTTGATTTTTAAATTAGCTCTGTTTCAACAAACAATTTTTTTTTTCATTTATGTTGATTTTTTAAAAAGTGAATCCATTTTAATTATTTATTTTTTTAAATTAAAATTAAAGAGAAGGCAATTTTCCGTGACATTGAAAGAACAAATTTTGTTAAATAAGGCCAGCAGTTTAAAAAAAAAAAGTTTAATTGTGTTTCCCTGACAGGCCGCGCTAACGCGCTGCAGCCAACCGCTGTCCGGGTTCTCAGCGCGCTGTGTGGAGGACGAGCAAATGTTGCAGGCCATCCTTCGCTCCAACCCCAAGTCAGAGTTTATGTACGTGGTGGACACCAGGCCTAAGGTAATGTTGGGGTGGGAGGGGGGTGTGGGTGGTGTGGCCCAACATGTAGGCCTAAGGTAATGCTGGGGGTGGGGTGAGTGTGGTGTAGTCCGAAATGTATGTGGTGGACACCAGGCCTAATGTAATGCTGGGGGTGGGAGGGGGGGGGCAACATGTATGTGGTGGACACCAGGCCTAAGGTAATGCTGGGGGGGGGGGGGGGGTCCAACATGTACGTGGTGGACACCAGGCCTAAGGTAATGCTGGGGGGGGGGGGGTCCAACCCCAAGTCAGAGTTTATGTACGTGGTGGACACCAGGCCTAAGGTAATGCTGGGGGGGGGGGGGTCCAACATGTACGTGGTGGACACCAGGCCTAAGGTAATGGGGGGGGGTGGTGGGGTTCAACATATACCTGGTGGACGCTAGGCCTAAGGTAATGTTGGGGGAGGGGAGGGGGGGTCCAACCCCAAGTCAGAGTTTATGTACGTGGTGGACACCAGGCCTAAGATAATGTTGGGGTGGGGGGTGGTGGGGTTCAACATGTATGTGGTGGACACCAGGCCTAAGGTTATGTTGGGGTGGGGGGTGGTGGGGTTCAACATGTATGTGGTGGACACCAGGCCTAAGGTAGTGTTGGGGTGGGGGGTGGTGGGGTTCAACATGTATGTGGTGGACACCAGGCCTAAGGTAATGCTGGGGGGGGGGGGGTGGGGTCCAACATGTATGTGGTGGACACCAGGCCTAAGGTAATGCTGGGGGGGGTGGTTGGGGGCGGGGGGTCCAACCCCAAGTCAGAGTTTATGTATGTGGTGGACACCAGGCCTAATGTAATGCTGGGGGTGGGGTCCAACATGTATGTGGTGGACACCAGGCCTAAGGTAATGCTGGGAAGGGGAGGGAGGGGGGTCCAACCCCAAGTCAGAGTTTATGTACGTGGTGGACACCAGGCCTAAGGTAATGCTGGGGGTGGGTGGGACGTTGGTGGTTAATGGGGGTGGCTGCTGTGGGTGGGTATTTTGTGGTTGGTGTAGGTGGGTGGCCGGATGGGTCTTGGATGGCTCAAGAGTCGTTATTGTAGGTGGCTCATTGCCTCATTTTAATGGCTCATTGATTTGCTTAAGACTTGTATTTGTGGCTGATTTGTGGATTATGTTAATGGCTCATTGATTCCGAAAAAAAAATTACTGGAAATTGGAAATTCCCGCTGCTGTCTTTAGAAACCACTTTATCTTTCCATATTTTCTCGTCCCAACAATTTGGTGATGGGCAAGGGTGGGGGGGGGGGGGGGGCGATGGCAGGAGGGAACTTGTCGATACATTTTTTAAACTCGTTAGCAGCCTGTGGTTGTTGGGTGGGGTGGGGTATGTGGAGAGGATGTAATGAAGCAGCGGTGGGGGTGGAGAGGATGTAATGAAGCAGCGTGGTGAATCTGTAGCCAGTTTGTCGTGGGGGGCGGGTGAAAGTTGGAGGGCGACTTGTCATAAGATTTGTTAAAGCAAGTAATTGCTCTATAGTTGTGAATGATGGCGTTTTCGGGGCGCCTTAATATAGACTTTTTAAAAACTAGTGATCGGGTTATAGTTGTGAAGAAAAGGGAGAAGGGGGGAGTGACTTGTCATCGAGAGTTAGAGCCGATAGTTTTGGCGGGAAATTTATTGCCACTTGCAGACATCAATAATCTCAAGCCCTTTAAGGCGTGTTCAAACTTTTTTTTCTTTCTTTCGTTTTCCTCGTTTGTGGAAGGACGGGGGGGGGGGGGGGGGGGGGCAATGAATCCCGACCAAGATTTTAAAAGTTGGTTGAAAGAGGGAGCTCCTTTTTAGTTTAAATCAAGATAAACATTGATCATGGAGAAACGGTGTTAGGGAACAAGGGGGTTGAGGCAGGGTTGGAAATGTAGGAGGGTGGGGTTAGGGTAGGAAAAATGATTGGGGGTGGGGGTGTATATAACATTGGGGCTAGGGTGAGAAACATGGGGCGAGAGTGGTGGAATATTGACAAGTGCCTGAACACAAGTGATCTATGTTAGCTCTGGAAGGGATGTTATTTTTCCTGCTCTGGTTTTATCGTCTGATCTTTTTGTGAGAGAAGGTTTGGGGCGGGGGGGGGGGGGGTGGTATTATATAGGCCGCTCCCTCAGACTTGATGTGTGTCCAGGGAGTTGTTGATTTTATGTGAGGAATATTTTGTCGAGAATTAATTCTTGCGTGGTGCTGTGTTGTGTAGAGTCGGTGGTCAATTAGCATACAGCCGTCGGATGGTTTACTGTAACAGTGGGGCTCAATCGGTGATCATCCCCTGTGGTGCATGTGTAGCTGTGTCACGTCTGTAATCTTATCTACTGTACAGTTGTGTCACGTCTCTCGTCCGTACATGTCTTTAAAAAGTAAAGTTCCCTTTCAAAAAGTTCACTTGTTTCTGACTTGAACCCGGATTCGAACTCGAGATTTACGGGTTAGCAGTCCAGCTCTCTACCACTCCAGCTCTCTACCACTTCATCCCCTGTACATTCCTTCGCTTCACCAAGATCAACCAAAGTCCGCCATGTCTTCCGGTTCGGGCCAAGTCACGTGATATCAACCTCGGCTTACCATTGGATGCTAGTGCGGCTCATTGAAGCGCTTGTTACTCATGCACATGAGCCCGAAACTGAAGCAAAATGTGTGTGGTGTATTCAGTTTTCTTTCTGTGTTTCATACATTCTTGGGGGGGGGGGGTGAATTTAAATCTACCACACGAAACTGAAGAAAAAAAATTAAATAATTGATATAGATCTAGAAAATATTTAAATTTTACTTAACCAGCGTCCCTCTCATCTCCCCTTCTCGAAAGTTTTAAGTGCCCTAAACCCACTCCATCCCCCCACCCCCACCCCAATTTCCCCTAGGAGAAAATTGTGTGAAAGAAAATCTGTGCTCATTCCTAGCAAATCATTCTCATGCCGTAGCTGCTTAGAACTTTTAGTTTATTTTTTTAAATAAAAAAACGTTAACGATACAGAAGAACGTCCATGAAGTGATTTCACTCGATGAGTTCAATACATGTTTAGTATCTTTGTGAAAATAAAATGGTAAAGGACTTTAATTCAGTAGTTATAACATCATAAAAACATCGGTGATCAAAAATAAATGAGTCATTTCCAGATGAGCAGGATGTGTTAACAACACACCACACAAAATGTGGTGCATTACTTGTGTTTGTTATTCTACTAAGTGATGAAGAGAAACGACTGGGTAGTCGATTGGCGGGAGGGTAAGATGGGGGACTGGGGTATAGGTGGGGACGGGGGTATAAGACCCGTCTACGTGCCAAGAGTCAATGACCGGTCGATGGTAGGTGCCGGTTTACCGGTCGATGGTAGGTGCCGGTTTACATGGATTGAATGACCCGGCTGAATCTTGGTCGATAGTCCGGTGTGGACCTAGTCTAGTCCGTGTGTGGGTCTAGTCGGTGTGTGGGTTTGGTCCGTGTGTGGGTCTGGTCCATGTGTGGGTCTGGTCCATGTGTGGGTCTGGTCCATGTATGGTTATGGTGTTGTCAAGCCCCAGTTCTAAACCTAATCTAAATCCACGTCCTAACACTATAGAATAACCCTCTTTTATAGCTGCAAAATAATTATTTTTTACTTGAAACATATACCAGCGTCATTTTTAAAAAAAACCATACCGGTATTTTGTGAACTTTAAGCTTTAATTCGAGATTTAATTCCCAAGCTGCACTGTACAGTATATAATGAGGGAATCGTGTGCGCGGGTTACTTAAGGGGGGGGGGGCATCTTTATACAGTGACGTCATTTCCCTGGAAGCTTAATGGTTCAAGCTTTTCTGAATGATAAAAAAACGTATGATTTTCTTTACAATTACCGTTATTTGAAGAGATAGGAACTTAACCCTTCGAGAAAATGTACTGTCATTTTCTTGAATGGTCTGGTGTTTTGCCGTTACGTGGAAAGCTGTGAGGGGGGGGGGGGTGAAGCCAGCCATACGTTTGTGACGCCGTTTACCACGTGAGCCCTAATTATTGTTTGTTGTCCACAGATCAATGCTATGGTCAACAAGGCCCAGGGCAAAGGTTACGAGAATGAAAACTTCTACAGCAACATGAAGTTTCAGTTCCTGGGCATTGAAAACATTCACGTGATGAGGACAAGTTTGGGCAAACTCTTGGAGAGTAAGTTGAGGTGGCATTGTGTGTGGGGTGTCTTTTGTGGGGGGTGTCTTTTGTGGGGGTGTCATTCTGTGTGGGGTGTCATTCTGTGTGGGGTGTCATTCTGTGTGGGGTGTCTTTTTGTGTGGGGTGTCATTCTGTGTGGGGTGTCTTTTGTGTGGGGTGTCATTCTGTGTGGGGTGTCTTTTGTGGGGGTGTCATTCTGTGGGGGGTGTCATTCTGAGTGGGTGTCATTCTGTGTGGGGTAGCATTCTGTGTGGGATGTTAATCTGAGTGGAGTTTCTTAGTGGGTTGTCATTTTTGTGGGGTATCATTATTGTGGGGTGTCATTTTAGTGGGGTGTCTTTCTTAGTGGGGTGTCTGTCTCATTGGGGTGTCCTTCTGAGTGGGGTGTCATTTTTATGAGGTGTCATTCTAGGTGAGGTGTTGCTTTTTATTAGGTGTTCTTAGTCGGCTATCACTCTAACAAAGTGTTGTTTTATTACTGCGCATGAATAAGTTCAACATCATAGAAAATAAGTTTTAACTGTCCAAAAAGTGTTCCACCATGTGACCTTGTATTCTCCTATCCCAGTCTCTGAACTGAAGAAGCCTTCAATGAATGACATAAGTTAAATATCAAAGAAATATCATAGTTTTAACTGTCCAAAAAGTGTTCCACCATGTGACCTTGTATTCTCCTATCCCAGTCTCTGAACTGAAGAAGCCTTCAATGAATGACTTCCTGTCTAGACTGGAGTCCTGTGGTTGGTTGAAACATATTGGTGCCATTATTGAAACTTCTGCTTTCATTGCTAAGGTAGGTGACTCTTAATTATATTTCTATTTTTGTAAAAAAAACATTCAAATTAGCTATGCCAATTTTTTTAGGTCTATGTCATTTTTGAAAAACAAGTTAAATTGTATGTAATTATAATTATTTTATTCCACTAATTTGCTGAGGTAACTGCTGTAGTTTTAAAAAGTACCGGTATCTTAGTTTTTTCATTTAGATAAATTGTTAGTCACACTTACACTGTTAAGTTAACAAAAGTAATAAAACTATAAATACAACTAGTTAGACATTAATTAACATAGGTAATGAGACTATACAAACAACTTCTTACATTAATTAACCTGGCTTATCAGACTATTCAACCAACTAGTTACACTAAAATTAAAACCAGCTAATGAGACCTTAAGTAAAAACTGAGCTCCCCATGAGCTAACCCAGCACATAAACTGAGCTCCACATGAGCTAACCCAGCACATAAACTGAGCTCCACATGAGCTAACCCAACACATAAACTGAGCTCCACATGAGCTAACCAAACACATAAACTGAGCTCCACATGAGCTAACCAAACACATAAACTGAGCTCCACATGAGCTAACCAAACACAAAAACTTAGCTCCACATGAGCTAACCCAGTACATAAACTGAGCTCCACATGAGCTAACCCAGCACATGAGCTAACCCAGCACATGAGCTAACCCAGCACATGAGCTAACCCAGCACAAAAACTTAGCTCCACATGAGCTAACCCAGTACATAAACTGAGCTCCACATGAGCTAACCCAGCACATGAGCTAACCCAGCACATGAGCTAACCCAGCACATGAGCTAACCCAGCACAAAAACTGAGCTCCACATGAGCTAACCCAGCACATAAACTGAGCTCCACATGAGCTAACCCAACACATAAACTGAGCTCCACATGAGCTAACCAAACACATAAAATGAGCTCCACATGAGCTAACCAAACACATAAACTGAGCTCCACATGAGCTAACCAAACAAAAAAACTTAGCTCCACATGAGCTAACCCAGTACATAAACTGAGCTCCACATGAGCTAACCCAGCACATGAGCTAACCCAGCACATGAGCTAACCCAGCACATGAGCTAACCCAGCACATGAGCTAACCCAGCACATGAGCTAACCCAGCACATGAGCTAACCCAGCACAAAAACTGAGCTCCACATGAGCTAACCAAACACATAAACTGAGCTCCACATGAGCTAACCCAGCACAAAAACTGAGCTCCACATGAGCTAACCCAGCACAAAAACTGAGCTCCACATGAGCTAACCCAGCACAAAAACTGAGCTCCACATGAGCTAACCCAGCACATGAATTCCCCAGGCCATATCAGACGGCATCAGTGTGTTGGTCCACTGCTCTGACGGCTGGGACAGGACGGCCCAAACGTGTTCCCTGGCTGGTCTCATGTTGGACCCCTACTACAGGACCCTGCAAGGGTTTCAGGTCAGTTCTCCTTGCTTTTATTATCCACTGTACCTGTAAAGTTGTTTAGGTTAATTTTTTTCTTATCCAGTATGTTGACTAGAATACTATCGTACTGCTGAATTGACTAACATGTAAATTATCCTTATGAGACCTGATGTGTAAGAGTGCAGGTAAGGTAGAGTTTATCTGGTTTTGTCACAATTACATTGGTAGCTCTTTTGATCCTGGAATGTCTAATATTGTTAGTGTCCCTATAAGAGCCATCAATGTAACTCTCGACTTGTTGCTAAAGCACAATCAGTGAAAATTATCTTGCTGTGTAATTGTAGAGTTCAGTGTGGTTAAATAGACCCAGAGGCGTAGCCAGGGGTGGGGGTGCGGATCGCACCGGGTGACACCATTTAGGGGGGTGACACCAAGGCAAAAAATAGCAAAATATGTAGACACCTGACCTCGCTACGCCACTGAATAGACCTACTGTTTCTGGCTATGTGTGTTAAGTAAACCTTACTTTTTCTAGCTGTGTGGGTTAAGATGACCTTACTATTTCTGGCTGTGCTGATGCTATTTAAAATCCAGTTAATAAGAATCTCTACATCAAGTTTAACATAAAATAGCATGATTTAATCAAATAAACATTTTACACTATAGTTTACATCCATGTTTACCCAACTCAATCCTTTCCCCAGGCGCTGATAGAAAAAGAGTGGCTGTCATTTGGCCACAAGTTCACTGACCGCTGCGGTCTGCTGGAGAGCGTGGACACCAAGGAGACGTCCCCCGTGTTCACACAGTTCCTGGAGTGCGTCTGGCAGATGATGCAACAGTTCCCCTGCGCCTTCCAGTTCAATGAGAGGTTCCTCCTCACCATCCACGACCACGCCTACTCCTGCCAGTTTGGAACTTTCATTGGCAACTGTGAGAAGGACAGGCTGGACCTGAGGTGACTCTTGAATCTGGTTTTGTTTTGTACACATTAACATGTCCCCTGGACAATGCTATTTTTTTCTAAATTTTAGCAATTTTAGTTTTTTCTGAGTACTAATTACTTTCAGATGAAAAATGGCATTGTAGTTTTTTCTAATTATTGTTTTTCTAATTTTTTTATTAATTAATTAAATAAATATTTAATTTAATTTAATAATTTCAATAATAAATTTAATAATTTAATTAATTAATTTTGTAATTAATATTTTTTGTTAATTATTATTATTTAAGCAGGACAGTGGCAACTCTATTTTTTTCCAATCTTGTTATGTTGGCCCATCCCTTAAAATGATACTAACCTTAAACGCTGACACAAACCTCAATACCGGAAGAAAAAAAAAATCTCAAAAAAATACTGTCCTGAGTTGTCTTTTATAATTTAATTTTTCTTCCGTTAATTCCAGGCTTTTTTAAAGATTATATTTTACACACACAAACTGTAGTTTTGGTCAGCCTATAATAAAATTTCAAAGCATGATTGCTCTTGCAGATTGTCTGAGAAAACGTATTCCCTGTGGGCCTATCTAAAACACCATTCTTCTGAGTTTATCAGCCCTCTGTACAAGAAAACTTATGAAATCCGACGTCCTGTCATTATACCCACATCATCCCCTCAAGCTCTCAAGTAAGTTTTAGTCTCATTAATTAGTCACTAACTTAATGTTTGTACTGACCAACTCTCCACATGAAAACATTTAAACTGACCACTGGCCATATAAAATCTTGTAAACTGACCAATGACCAATTGAAGAATTTAAACTGAAAAATGGCCATTTGAAGAATTTAAACTGACAAGTAGCCAGACAGAAAATTTGAAACTAACCACTGGCCAATTGAAAAAAAAAATAAACTGACCAGTGTCCACTTTCTTTAATTCAGATACTGGAAGGGCATGTACAACAGGTTTGACAGTGGACTACACCCACGTGAAAATGTCACAGATATCGTATCTGCTGCCAAGGATCATAGCACCTCTCTTGAAGATCATGTTTTGTTGTTGGAAAAGGTGAGACCATCTAAAAATATCATCATACTTTGTATAACATTCTGTTCAAGTCAAATGCTTTACAGAGTTAAGTTTTAGATCTGAACTTGAGACTTCCTGTGTTCTCTACCATCAGACCATGTAGTCCCACATTATCTGGCTATTCATTCTTATTTTATCAGCAGTGATGTCTCAAGATACTTAGGTTTACTTGCCAATATTACAGATATCTGTATCTGTTTCAGTAGCCTATTTATCCATCTGTTTTTCTGTAATCCACAGCTATTTAACTGCTATGGTAGTTAAATTATTTTATCAGCACTCTAAGAAACTTAGGTTTACGTGCCAATATTACTGTATCTATTTCAGTAGCCTATTTATCCATCTGTTTTTCTGTAATCCACAGCTATTCAAAACTGCTGTGGAAGTTTTCCCAGCCTTCTCACACCAACAGTTTATTTTCATGCAGTTTTTGGTATCACTGTCTGTACTTTCTCCGGTTTCAAATCTGTAAATGTCCCTGAGTCCACTCAGCTCTGATGGGTACCTGACTCACGTTAGGGAAAATAAAGGTGGCTGGGCATTAGTGCTGATCTTCATAAGCCAAGGTTACAGAACCAGTTAAAGTCTACTTCACCCGTAAAGCGTCATGTTTCAAAGGAACTTTATCTGTACTTACTCCATGGATGATTTTTTGTTTCAGAGAGTGACCCAAATTTGTAAACTTCTTGGCAAGTCGGATGAGATAATCCAGCGTAAACTTCAGGGTTATCTATCCATGGATTCCATCGACGGATTCCTCAGTGGCCACATAGGTGACGGCCCCGCCCACTCCAAGTCTCCGCCCCTGACTGACAACTTCCACAAGGCCAGCCCCGACTCTGATCTCACCATCAACGGGAAATACCCGCACTTAGACAATGCTGCTGTCAATCATCTGAAGAGTGACACAGAGTCTGGGTTTGACGAGTCCAGCTCGCAGATGTCAAGGTCGGGGATTGACGACGGAGTGTACGTTGGGATGGAGGCCTCGGGGATGGTCAGGTCCCCGAGCTCCGACCAGCTGTCTGTAGATCAGCTGATTGCTGAGCTTAAGACGGTCGCCATTGGATGGAAGTCTTTCAGAAACGTCAACAGCTGTGCCTGTGCCACGCCCTTTGATTACTATGTGAAAAAGGTGAGTAAAATTGTTACTCACTGTAGTAAAAATCTAGTCTACTTACATCTCTTAACACCTTACTTAGTACTTTTCCTTTCTTGTGGTAATTTGTTGTTAAACATTCAACTTTTTATAAATATTATAGTTGCGTTTATTAACCAAAGAAGCAGGGGTTGGCGTGGTCGAGTCGGTAAAGCTCATGGTTGCTAAACCGAAATGTCTCGAATTCTAACCCTCGGGCAGATGAGGCCCGTTAGCTGGGGACTGCCACTCTTCTAGGAGAGACAACTCCAAAATCAAACAACTGCTGCCATGTAGTTTGTTCTTGGTTGAACAAAGGCTATGGAAGCAAATCCAAAAAGAAAAGCAGGCTAAAATCAGAGTCAATGGCCTCAATGGTACATAATCAGTTGACACGTATCCTTAATTGTGACAAAGCCGTGGTTGAGTCGACAAAAAGCTCATGGTTGATAAATTCGAAAAAGTCTCGAGTTCAAACCATCTAGCAGATAAGGCTCGATCCCTTCCAACACTAAAAAAACTAAGAAGAAGAACCAAAGAAGCGAAATAAAGCACTAAGTTTAGTTACTTCACATACCTTATTTCCCAACTTGTTGTACTAAGTGTAATGACTTGTAAATATTTTATCCCCTGTGTCATGTCTAGTTCCACTGCTGGAAGTGCGGGGATGTCTTCTGCACACGCTGCATCGCCCGCAACATCCCCCTGCCTGGCCACTACCACAGACGACCTGTCCCAGTTTGCAAGCCCTGCTACAAGGAGGTCAGGAGGTCACCCAGCACAGAGTTCCCACTCAGTTGACCGTAGGATGCTCTAACAAGTATTCCACTACTTGAGCCGTTTGTCCAGTTTATTCCTAGATGATTTCATCCAATCATGTTAAACCATTTAGCATTTGAATTCTGGTGTGAAAGCTTCCTGTTTGACCCCTGCTTGGTTTGTCATAGAGCTAAAAAAAAAATCTTTTAATCAACATCATACAAAGTTGTGTATGTTTCCTAACAATTTTTTAATGTTACTAGAAGTTGCTTCCTATTTGTGACCCTTCCATTACAATTTTGAGTCATTTTACACCTCTGGGTAACTGAGATATTAAGTTAGGCTTAAAGTGTTTTTGATGCTCATTTCAAATAGTCTTTCTCGTGGTCAATGGTTTAGGTATGGAGAGTGTTAGGGATCGATTTTAAAATCATTATTTGATATAATTATACATATGTAGGAGTCAATAGAAACAAATTATTGGCCCCATTGCCTCATCTATTGATAATCTGAACTGTTTGGTATAAATAATAAAGTTCTTGGGTGTTGATTATAAAATTATTCATATAAACATAAAAAGTAAAACAAAATCCCAAAATTAATATCAGTAGGCCTGCTGTACATCTTCTCCAAATATTTCTGTCTTGATCTCAAAGTAGACGCAGGTGTCAAATGACTGAGGAAGATGGTCACACTTCATTCTTGTGTTTTTTCACTGGCCAGTGGTTTTTTTAATTGCAAAAATAATTCTGTGGCTTCATGCAACATGCAGGAGACTCACCATTTTGAGTGGGGAAAGGTTCATTAGCTAATGCAAGTATCTGTGTTCATATGATCTAGCTATTATTAACATCACAATGTAAATTTATTGGCTGTAATTTTTTAAATGAATATTTTCCATGTATTTTCTTCCGTTTCTACTTTTAGTAAATGTAACTAAATTGTGGAAAATACTTTGGTTATTTTGACATAATTACTAAAAAAAAAAATTGACTTTTCATTTGTTAGGTTGTAATTAGTGCTGAGTAAATTGTGATTTTTATATAAGGTTTACTTTGAAGTTATTAATGTATCACTCAAAAAGAAATTTTCTATTATTTAATTATAAGGTCTTGTGAAGAGACAGTTATAAATGCATGAGGGGGGGGGGGGTGCATTCTTAGAACCTCCCACCTACTGTTACATGCAAAGTGTACATTTTTTCAATGATGTTACTTGCACACGAACCTACCACAAGTGAGCTCATACACGCCCTGAGTAGTTATTTGAATATTTTACTTAGAGATACATTTAGACTGATATACTCGCTGGTTTACTTGTTTTTGATAAGTGACTAGTGATACAAAACATTATTGGGACAAAGTTTTGTTGCAGGAAAATTTAAAAAATAACTGCTCACATAATAAATAATTGTATTAACAAAATATTTTGCATGACTGGTTAGTATTATACACATATTTAAGTTACTGCTAAAATAATTTAAAATATTGAACTACAATACTGATAACAATTTTGTCATTGGGTTGAAAATAATGTGTTAAATTAAGTGTAGTCTAAGATATAGGCCTACACCTCCCAATGACTTGTAACTCTTCATTGGGTGGAGGTACATATTTTAATAGTTTTTAATCTAAATGATGTCACAAATCTTTTTTTTTTATGACTAAACCAAACATTCATTTTGTATACACCCTCTGCAATATACATTTCCTGAACATATTCAGTTTAAATTAATTGTGATTTATAATGTGTTTTTTTTTAACATTTTGCTGAAGGCAAATCTTTTTTTTTAAATAATGTGAAGGGATATTCTCTGTGCTTGATAAACCAAAACAAAAAATAATGATGTGATTTTTTTTTTTAATTGAGAGATTTAAAAAGAAGAAAAAAATTGTGAGGTGATTTTACATTGAAGATCTAGAGAAAAAAAAATGCTCATTCCAATTTTTGTTATTTTTAAACCCTCAGAGGTTTGAGTAAACCACAGTCTTTGCTTTTATACTTCGTTGGTTTTAATTTTTTAAATACTCCTGACCTTAATTAATTACACAGGAGGTTGTCATGTGTGAGACTTAATTAAAATCAGCATTGGTCGTTTGTTGATCAACTCTAGAGAGAGTGTGTGAAAAGTGTGAGATGTGGATTCTACCTTTGTTATAATGTGTGCAATATTCACAAACATTTTAATTTTATAAGGTCTGCTACTTTTATAAAAACTGATTTAGTGACTTTTTTTTTCTTTATTCTGCATATTTCTTTTTTCTAAAATTTAAAAATGATTGTGAGTATTGAGCGTTGCAGGTTTATTTTTTTTAATTTTGTAAAATTGATGAAAGATAATTAAAATACCATCTTTTTTTTTAATGAAAAGATGTATTCACTTATTATTTAAATGGCTCATGAAAAATAATGACTTTTTTATGTACATTTATAAATAAAGTTTCTAATGTAAGGTGGGTTTTTTATTTGCTGATTTTTTTTTTCCTGACAAGAATAAAAACATTCCACTTAAAAGGTGTAGTGTAAGAGAGACTGTTTTTTTTTCAGCGTGTGTGTATAATCCTGTAGGAACATAATGGATTGATTACCATTTATTCCATTTTTAAAAAAACATTTTTTGTAAGGCACCATGCATTTTTTATAATTCTGTTGCAGAATTTTTGTGTTGATATTTATTAATTAATTAATTAAAGAAGTTACTGTTAATTGTATGTTTCTGTACTTATTCATTGTAAAAAAAAGTGTAAATTCTTAATGATATGGCTGTCATAGCATTAATACAATACATTTGTTATTGTCAATTTGCTCACACCACAAAATGTTAAGCAATGATACGAGCTATTAATCATTTAGTTGTTGATGAACGAGGATGACATTTATTTACCTGTAAAATCTTGCAGAATGTTGCCCGTATGATGACCATTTATTTACCTATAGAAGCTTGAAGAATGTGACTAAATGGATAATGACCATTTATTTAATTGTAAAAGCTTGAAATGTTACCAGTATGATGACCATTTATTTACCTATAGAAGCTTGAAGAATGTGACTAAATGGATAATGACCATTTATTTAATTGTAAAAGCTTGAAATGTTACCAGTATGATGACGATTTTTTTTACCTATAGAAGCTTGAAGAATGTGACTAAATGGATGATACCCATTTATTTACCTGTAAAAGCTTGAAGAATGTTGCCAGGATTATGACCATTTACCTGAAAAGCTTGAAGAATGTGACTAAATGGATGATACCCATTTATTTACCTGTAAAATCTTGAAGAATATGACTAAATGGATGATGACCTTTTATTTACCTGTAAAAAGCTTGAAGAATGTTACCAGGAGGATAATGACCCTTTACCTGTTGAGGCCTCAAGATAACTGTACCATGGAAATGGATGAGTAAGGTCAACCAACTTTCCATTTTTTTTACTGTAGTTATCTGCAAACTTCTCTCTGTGTCATTCAATGTGATCATGCCCTACCTGGATGCTGTGAATGTCGTATTATTTGGTTTCGTTTTTACTTTTGTTTTATTTACTTTAGTTACTAATCAAAACAAGATATGTGCTATATTTTTCTTCCATGTCTGAAGTAATTTTGGTAGCACATTTTAATTACATTTGGTTATGGTTTAAATGTTTTCCTAGCAGTAAGTATTACATTACAAAAATATATTGATTTTGAAAACATACTGATTATTAAAAAAAAACTACATTGCTAACAGCAATAAATGTATGTATTGTGTTGGTTTTAAGACCTATTTTTATTTTATTAATTTAAAAAATAATCATATATACACTATTCTGATTAAAACTGAAGAAAAAAACATTTGTATTAAAAAGGAGCGTACATTTCAGAAGTACAAATGTATGTTGATTATTTTTCAGCTTGAAACATGTATACTATTTACTAATGAAAATTATTTGTAAGATATTATTAGTTAGTTTTTGTTGAGCTTTATCTGGCCAATGAAACCTGCTTCATTTTTATATGTGCTGCCATATTTAATTTATTTTATAGACAATTAGAAATTTTAATCTGTATTATTTTTTTCAAAACTGAATGCTAACCTTCACAATTTCAATCTATTCATCTTGTAAAATAGAAATTTGTAAAGCAATACTGAAGATATGTCCTAAGATTCTTTTTTACTTTTTGTAATTTGAAGTTTTCATTAGGAGCTTTAAAAAATAGTATTAATGTCAATAGATATCAATCAAATGTCTTAAATAATGAAAAGGAAATGTGTTGTCTATTTTTGTTCATTATTTTATTAAGCTTATACTAGTAGTAGGCTTATTTGTTGATACATTGTTGATTATTTACATTTAAGTTTGTAATTAGTAATTATTTTATGGGTTTTATCTAAAGGGAAATTTTTTTTTATACTTTTAATGTGCTTCAAATGTATACTTGTTTCAAATGCCTGTTTACTGTGAGAATGAAAGATTTTCAAAAATATGAATGAGCTGCAAGAAAATATTATGAATTAAAATAATTTTACTCTTTAGATTCTAATGTTTAAAATGCTAGATATTAATAAACATAGATTGGACAATAACTTTGTTTGCATTTTTCACTTGATAAATAATGGTAAATGCTACTAAATAGATACTGTTGTTTATAGATGTAAATTCATGAGCACTTAGGTTAAATATTTGTTACTAGGTTTGTTAGGTTTATTGGTAATTTCTTTCATGACTAGCAAGTGGCAATAAATTGAAAGAAAAATAAACTGTTGGTTTTATTTTTTAAAGGACTACTAAAATTACTTAAAATTTGTGAAGAATGAGTAAAAATGTCTAGAATGTGTGAACTTAGATTAGAAGTAATGTCTACTCCATCAGCGGGGCTGGTTAAAAAATCTGGAGATCTTCAATAGTTGATAGGATTCTAAAATAGATGGATGATATATGTTTGGTAGAGGCTAGTTTGTTATTGTGATTAGGTCTTAAGGATAAAATCAGTGGGCCTTACAATTTTTTTCTAATAAATAATCTGAATTCTTGAGTAGCCTAAAAAGCCACGCTAAAATATTTAAATAGCTACGTTTAAAATTTAAACTTTTAATTTTATTTTTAACAAGTTTGTAGTAATATAACAATAAGAATTATAAGTAAGGGATCGTCATAAATGACGTCACACTCGCAGGGGTGAGGGGGTCCGTAATTTTGTGACGGTGATGAGGGGGGGGGGGGTCAGATTGTGTGACCCGAGGCTGGGCGTAGGGGTGCAGACCGCACCAGGTGACACCATTTAGGAGGGGTGACACCAAAGCAAAAAAGCAAATACATGTACACGTATGCAGCATATATTTAAATTATAGGCCGACACAAACACACATAAATATATATATATATAATATATATATATAATATATACTTTGTTTCTTGTTGGGGGGTTGACACCAAGAAGTGTCGCACCGGGTGACCCCGCAATGCTAGAAAACGAATTTTAGCTGTCATTTTGCGTTTTAGAAAAAAATTTCAATAAATTGTAATAGAAATTGATTAAAATACTTTAAGTTGACAGAGTTCAGACAAGATTTTGGAAAAATATTGTATTCTAATTTTAAGAAAAATTCAACTGCAATTTTGTGCAGAATTACATTTACACATGTATCACCATAGGGGAGGCAACAAGATATAAACCAAATCTAGACTCGATTATTCAAAAACCAAAGCAGCCTGAAATTTGTAGATCTAGATCTAATATTTTAAACTGCTGAAACTTTACTGCGAGCTAACACTTCGTATTACTCTAGAATCTATGTGACTGTAGTGTGCACATAATAGTACATAGATCTAATAGTTAATAATACATTCAAGAAACATTATTATTAATATTAGAGACTCTAAAACGAATAGGTCAATCAATATTTCAATAAAGTTGAATATCACTGTTATTTTTTTTACCAGAGAACGATTCTACTCTAGATCTAGTACTATTATTAGAGATCTAGTAAGTCTAGTTTTTATGTTAAAATAAAAAAAATATTAGGGCCTAATATTAATAATTAAAAAGAATAATAATTCAATAATAAATGAATAAGTTAGGCCTAAAATATTAAATAAATAAATAATTTAATATTAAAATAAAATGGTAAAACTCCATCCATGCCATTTAAATTTAATTAAATTAGATTTAGATCTAACTGATAATCATTTTGAATTTTAGTGTATTTTATTGGCCAATGCTAGCCGGAAAAAGAAACGCATGAGCAATGGAGAGAAACTTCGACTTGCCTTTGCGACAATGTTTTTGATGGTACTGCGCATGTGTGTGTTTACAACCGCAGAACACTAGCCCTAACCGTAATCCCAACCCTAATCCGAGCCCTAGCCATAGGTCACTGCGCATGCGCAGAAATATCTTTTGCCGACTAGGTGGAGATGTTAGGGCAGAAGATCTTTTTCCGAGTAGTCACTTTGTATTTTATTTGCCGCTTCTCGTTTACGTCTGGTTGAGCGTATTTTATTATTAGGGCTTGTACGTCTTGTTTTCTCTCAATTTATTTTGAATTAGAAACCTCGTTAGCCAGGGAGAGATTTAGATTTTCAAACTAAATTAATTGTTGGCACCACAAGATCCTAAACAGAATTTTAAGGTAGAATATTACATCTTGGATATGGGTATGCAGACTTTGAAATAGAGATTCCAACAATTAGAATAACATAATTATAATAATCTGGTTGGATTCCTTTATGATATATCCACTACCAACCAAAAGACACCTGCGGATATAGTCTTACGGACTGCAAACATTTAGAAACGTTGAAGCATAACGCTGGCCTTTTAGGGAGGGGGAGCGAAATCCGACAAAAAATAATAATTTTTTTGCACCTTGATCGACTAATGGTTTTTAAAAAACAAAAACAAGAAAACTAATCGACTGCAGCCGTTATTGTTCTACAGTAATTAACAGTACACACTGTTGGGCAGAGAAAAAAAAAGCTACAAAAATTGTAGTATGAAATATAGGCAAACTTTTAGCCTCTTATATGTCCTATTTCTCTTCTTTAAATAGTAAAATAGTGGTGCCGATAAAGCTAATTAAAACAGTTCTATGCTTAAGCAAATTAAAACAAAATTTCTTCTCTTAATAATTATGAAAGTAAACATCCTGACAAATGACTACAATATAAAAAGGAATTAATTATATATATTTATATATATATAAAATGGGGACCCGGAAAAAAATTTGTGGGGGGGGGGTTAAATAAGCTGGCGCCTGCACTGTATAGACCACATAATTAACACTAATAAATATGTATTCAGAAAGTAGTATATTTTTTAAACTTCATTGTCGCCTACCAATTGTAACTTTCAACTCAATTTTGCATTTGTGATTCTTTCACTTTTATCTATTTCTTACTCAACTATGTCCATATATGCAACCGTTTATTGATTTTTTTCATTTTTATGTTCTAGGTAAAAAAGTTTATAAAAAATAGCTAACTAGAAGAAATATCTACAAATGAGTGGTGTTATCCTACCCAAGTCCTTCGCCTTGTTAAGAAAATGGCCTTGTCATGGACTACTGGCATTATCATGGTCATGTAAAAGAACTTTATATGTTACTAAAGTTAGGCTGAATCAACCTGTGTCAGACCTCTTCACCAACCCTGTTGATCGCCTTCAACCCATGGTACAAATTCCCATTATTCCAAACTCTGATATGGCGTTTAGGCCATCGAGAGATGAGATGGAAGCTGCTTCACTGATGTTTGAACGCAGAAATATGAAAGGAGAAACATTTCAGTTTTTAGGTTCCTGGCCCAACCCGCATATCATGCCAAAGTGGGACGTACCAGAGGTATGATTTCTTTCAAAAGAGAGTGTCTTATGTTTTAATTGTGTAGACAAGTTATTTTACTATATATTTAAAAATACATTTAAAACTGGATCTTGTGTGATTAATGACTAGCCTATGGAGTATTATATGGGACGGCTTAGTTGAATGGTAGAGTGTTCGTCTGCTAACCCCAAAAGTTTTGAGTTCGGATCCCAGGCTAGAGTCTGTAGGACGTCTCTGAGTTCACCCAGCTCTGATGGGTACTTGACTCAAAATAGGGAAAGTAAAGGCGGCTGAGAATAGCACTGACCACACTACCTCTGCACGTGTCAAGGTCACTGAAAAAGGAGAGCTCTTTCTGCAAATGGTTAATGTAATGGTTATAATCTTTGTCTTGAAGTATGCAAGTTTATCTCTTTCCTTATCAACTGACAGGTAGCTTTTATAGGCAAGAGTAATGTTGGCAAGTCTTCGTTACTGGCGGCTATGTTTGCACAAGTCCCTGATGTTAAAGTCAAAGTTTCCAAAAAACCGGTAATCTTTAATTATTAATTTTTAAAAAAAAACTGTAGATCAGCATGTAATATTTAACAGTTATAATCGATGAAGTTTGTTGAAAAAAACTTTGAATTGGGGAATGAAGATTAAAATGTTTAAAGTAAATCAATGTAATAGAAAGTAAATTCTTGCAATTAATTGCTTATGTTGTTGTTTTTTTCATAGGGTCACACAAAACTGATGAATGTGTTCAATGTAAATAATTATTTCCACCTAGTTGACATGCCAGGATATGGTTTTAACATGCCAGATCATTTTGAAACAAGTGTTGAAGCTTACATTAAATCACGACGCAAGTAAGTTTTTATCAAATCCACTTCCTTATTTTTCTACAGGTGTTAGTTATTACATTCTTTTAAGTTTTATAAATGGTCAAGCTCTTACACCATGTTTACAGTTGTGACATGTATAATGTCTAGAAAAAGAAAGTAGCCCCCTCCCCCCCCCCCCCCCCCTCCTTGTTCTGATTAAATTTACTTATGGTGATAAATTTTTTTCTAGACGTGTAGTATACATGTTGCAGGTGTAAACATGGTGCTATACAATAAAAGCACAAGATAAAATTCAGTTTATTTATACTGAGGTTTTGCCAACTTACACAGTAAACTAAGAAAAAATTCAACACGACTATCAGTGGAATATAGAAAAAACAATGTATTTTGTGAAAAGGTGGTCTCTGTTACGAGTAAAAAGATAAATCCTCACACAATTGGAGAAAAGCTCACCAAACCCTGCAAGATGGTAAAATTAATTCTTGCGGAATCTAGTGAAGATACAAAAAATATCTCTAATAATATTCACCAGCATAAGTGTCAGACATGTCACCAGTCATTAAGGTTTTACAGTTGCTTTTTTTTTAAGTTGATGTATCAACAGATGAAAGCTCATGTTCACTGTTTTGTCTTTGTGAAATAAGTTCATTCAGATTATATAAAGCTTTTTTGGAGTGAACTTCAGAACTTAAAATTAATACAAAAAAGTGACGATATTTTAGAGATGATAATTTTTTGAGAATTAAAGTGGAATAATGTCTGCGAGGTTTGAACTGGGGCTTTCAGAAAAAAAGTTAAAAACAAAAGTAAACTGTGTTGATACAAAATCATTGTTGTACTTTTCTTGATGTAGCCAGCATTTTCAATTAATTACAAGATAATGTCTTGAATTTGCAAATCATTCCTTGGAGTATATCTTGTTTAATGACAAATGGCTCATACTAATTTGGTGCAGTTTGAAACAAATGTGACAATGCTTGCCATTTAAGTTTGTGTCTCCATATCTCTGCATGCGTTGATTTTCAACTCCTTTTCGATTAAAAATGCAGAGAATGGCATAGGATTGACGTTAACAAAAACTCACCTGCTAGTTTAAAGCCATTTAATATTTATTAATAACATGCAATTTCAACCATTGTATTCAATCAATTTATAAATATAACAAATTTTGTCTTTTTTTTTTAAACTACCTTTTTAATTGTATCGGGGGGGGGGTCTCTGGTCACTTTTGTGAAGAAATAAAGCAGTTTCATTTAATAAGTTTTCCAGCGATCATAGGATATAAACAAATCTTAGTTTCTTCAGGGCTACACAGTATACTGTTACAAGAAACTTTGAAATAAAAAATAGACAACACTTTAAATAATGAAGCCATGTTACACATCAACTCATTAATTTCAATTCGTGACATAAGAGAATTGAGGTAATATATAATCAAACTAATTTCAGTTTGTTACGAGTGTTCATGTTAATTGATGCAACAACTGGTCCTGTTGATGTAGACAACATAGCTATTGGTATGATGGAGGAATTCGCTGTTCCTTATGTTGTGAGTGTGCTAGGAAGTTTTTAGTTTTGTAAGTCCACTGTCAGCATTTTAATCAAACGTTTTGTAACCATTTCAAATAAATGCTACTTCAAATACACCTGAGTTGGTATTAAGCTTATGAATATGTTGCATTTTTTAAAAGCTATTGTGGACTTATAAAACATACCTTCCTGCAATATTATATTCAACTTATTATAAGAAAGAAAATGAAATAGGTGTCTTATGTGTTTTTCAGTGTTATGACTTTTATTCTGTTTGATGGGAGAGTTGGGGTGACAAACAATGACCAGAAGTATTTCAAAAGTTATGCTGAACTTAAGATTCCATTATGTGTATGTACTGTTTAAGATTTAAGTGGTTTACAGTTTGGATCATTAGGAAAGAAAAATTACTTAAGTATAGGAATACATTTGTTAAATGTATTTACACATAATTAATTATTGTTATACTTTTTTTAGATTGTGATTACAAAGATAGATTTAGCTAGACCAGCCACACTCATCAGGAGTTTGATGTCAGTGGTGAAATTCAGAGACGAAACTAAAGCGGACAGTTGTTTTCCTCAGCCATTTTTAGTCAGGTAAGACAGATATATGGGATGTTGTGGTCAAGTCATGGACCCTGTAGTTGTGCTTGTAGGATTTTGTGTTGGGTTTCCTGACTCAGAATTCACCTACATCTTATAATTACCTGATTCTAGTCAGGAAAGATAAAAGTTTCTTGGCATGATACTGACCACACAGACCCATCGTATTCATGTTTTCTGCCCAGAGCCTCAATATCTAGTGTGTACCTGGCCTAAGTGGGAAAGTTAAAGTGAATGTGTACCTATATTTTTCAAGTCAAGCAATACACATGCTGTGGCTAAGGGGTCGGAGTGGTCGAGTCGGTAAAGCTCATGGTTGCTAAACCGTAGTCTCGAGTTCGAACCCTCGGGCAGATGAGGCTCGTTAGCTGGGGACAGCCACTCTTCTAGGAGAGACAACTCCAAAATTAAACAACTGCTGCCTTGTAGTTTGTTCTTGGTTGGACAAAGGCTATGGAAGCAAATCCAAAAAGAAAAGCAGGCTGAAATCGGAGTCAATGGCCTCAATGGCGCATAACTAGTTGACACGTACCGCTTAATTGTGTTGGAGGCGTGGTCGAGTCGGCAAAAAGCTCATGGTTGATAAACAAAGTCTCGCAGATAAATCTCGATCCCCTTCAACACTAATAATTAAGAACGAAGAAGAAGAAGAAGAAGACATGCTGTGGCTAAATAAGTATATGAACTCTACTTTATCTACTGTTAGACCTGACGAGGTGCTTTACTGAATTATGCCTGGCTCTTTAAATTATCTGTTAATTTTTTTAACTTTCAGTTTTTAAGTATAAATTATTTTTTTATGTATGCATGTACTGGTTATATATTACTAATCAGTTGTTTCTAAAAATAATCTGTCTTGTTTATTATTTTGTAAGTGATTTAAACGTTTTATTTTTTCAGTTCAGTGAATGGAGAAGGGCTGGCATTTCTTCAGTCTTTTATTGCCTATGTCACTGGAAATTTACAGATCAAATCATTATCATAAACCACACAAACGTTTACCAAATAAACTATATTATATTATATGGCTCAGTCAGAAATTTATGCCCAGTAGAAGATTATATTTCGACAAAACCAGTGCATACAAATTTTAAATGTTTGGACAAATGGCCACTAAATTTTAAGAATTATCCTTGTACAAATGTAAATGATGTTAGAATATTATTTTAATGTTAATATAATGTATAATCTTGCTTTAGGAAACATAATCACCAATTACAATTTAATAAACCTTTTAACAAGAATTGCCTTATTATTTGTTTTTTATTTCTATTTAATTTTTGCCTACTGATTAAAAGCATAAAGATTTGGACACCAATTATAACAGCATTTATGATTATTAGTATGCTTTATCAGTTAAGGCAAGATCGGACTATGTAAAATACATTTCTTTATTGTATGTAAGTTTGTTATCTGAAACGTTTGTTAGCTTTTTAAAAAAATTCTGAACTTTCCCTGGTGCATGCTTAACTAGAATGACCAGTTGAAACAGGTTTAAATTTATAAATGATCAAACTTGTGTTTTATTTTTTATTGAACAACTATTTAGAAAGTATAATAAGTTTAATTAAGCAATTATACCTAAGATATTTATAATTGCTACTGGTTTGTTAAATATTTATAATACTAAGTTTTTATAATGTTAAATTACATGTTGTAGACCACAGTGATTTGTTATATTAATGATAGGGCTATACAGCAGAGTTACAAGAGCAACCAAACACAATTTGATTACTATCATCTGTCTAAATACAGCCTCAATGATTGAGAGGCTAGTCCTCCATGTGCCTCTCATAATCCTTCCATAGCATTATAAACATTTTAGAACAGAACATTTTTATAAAATTAAATACATGGTCAGTATAAATATGAAAGTCAACTTTTGATAGGACTTTTTCTCAGAATTGGGGGGGGGGGGGGCACGTCCTAGATCTGTGTCTTATGCTATAAATAAGTGGATATGTTTTTCTTTGTTTACAAACTTTTAAGATGATAAATTTACAACTTGAAAATATCAGGACATTCCACAAATCATATAATGATTATAATCAACATTTTAGCGACTCCTAATAGCGAATAAGCCTATTCAATGGCGTCACTAGGTCGGGTGTCACCACCCCCTACAAAACACTTTGCTGCTTAGCTTTTTCTGATATATTATTTTAACTAGGCCCTACATAAAATAGAACATTGTTTTGACAGTAAATGTATCCCAGTATGGGCCACGCTGTTTGGACCTACTAGTTAGTCAATTCAATAGCGCTTAGCCTACTTGGCTTTCAAAACAAAGTCAAATTAAACATGTAGGCTTAGATTTACTATAAGTGAAACTAGTTGTTAAAATATCGCGTCGCCATCAGTGGCGGAACTAGAAAAAAATGGCCACCCCGCAAAAAATTTTTTTAGGCCCCCACCCATATATATATATATATATATATATATATATATATATATATATATATATATATATATATATATATATATATATATATATACAAACACATAATAAGAACAGAGCATAGGATACTCATTGCTGGCCTGTTCGGGTTTTGAAAAAAAAAATTTCAATTAAAACAAATTACTACATCATGTCATGTGTCAAAGTGCATTAGTGTGTTTTGAGAAATTGAGTTTCATTTTATCTGCTATAGGTTCTCGTAATGTATATCTGGCCAAACGAATATAAAACATGAAATCTTTGTAGAAGTAATGGTGTCTCATGTTATTATTATTTTTATGTTTTTTTATATTTATATTATTAATTTTAAATACATTTCCTTTTTATACAAGGTCATTCTTTAGTACGTTTTTTATGAAAAAATATTTAGTAAGAGAAGTAATTGCTTTTTAATTTGTTTAGTACAAATCTATTTAAAGGAGCTTATGAGCACCCCAATTTGACTATTTAAAAAGGGAAATAAGTCATGGAAGTGGTTTGAACGTTTGCTTATCTTTGCTACGTTTAATTGTAGAAGAGAGGACTTGGCTTTCACAGTGGTATAAAAAGAAAGGGAAGAAGAATATACAAGGGCGTGGGGATGGTGTCTATAGAATAAAGATAATCAAACCACAGCAATGGTAATCGCTTTACAAAACAAACATCAAGTCAAAAATTGCAAGAAAATTAGATTTTTTAAAACTATAATAAAAATAATTAGGGTCGGCCGTGGGCCCTAAATGGCGTGGGCCCCCCCGCATTGCGGGGTCTGGCGGCACTGTAGTTCAGCCCCTGGTCGCCATGTGCATGCAACGCTCTAATATAGCCTGGGGGCTATCCATTTATGGAATACACACAAATGTGAAATTTAGATTTTAGACCCCCTTCCCAATAACTTGGACACCCCCCGCCCTCCCTCACCAACTAGGCTAGGCCTAATGCGTTCTCTCAAAACATTCTTTGAAAATACTAATTCATGAAGGCCTACTTTATCCGGCGCTTATATTAATAATTTTTATTTTCTATGTAAGGATATGTTTTTAAAGGATATGTCTTATTATAATTGTGATAATTGATATTGTGACCTCCCCACACTTCCATTTTAATTTTTTTTTAACTGATGGGAAAAGTAAATATTAATGTTTCTATGGAAAGGAAAGGAAAGCAATACAATAATTAGATTGTGCTGATACGCGGCGATTTAGTAAGTCGAGAGGCCACATTAGTTTTTCGCCCATGATTTTTCTTCTCATCGTTTATCGTTGAGTGGCGAATTCTAAAGACATAGGTGCGGCATAACGCTTTATTTACGACACAAACTGGGCTATTTTTTAAACACATAACAATGCCGTTTTAATGTATACAATTTGAAAGCAGGTTTAAAGTTTTGGTGTTAAGTTTTGTGGTTGTCGTAAAAAGTGTAATCTTTACGCGTCCACGAAGCAGAGGCGTAGCGGGGGGGGGGGGGACATATGTCCCCTGGCGCCGACCTTAAGGGGCGCCAAAATGGGTTGAAAAAACAAATTTAAAGTTTGAGGGGGGAGGTGTTCAAATCGAAAGTTTGAGGAGTGGGGGTGTGCAAATCAAAAGTTTGAGGGATGGGGGGGGGGTGCAAATCCAAAGTTTGAGGGATGGGGTGGGCTGCAAATCCAAAGTTTGAGGGGGGGGGCTGCAAATCCAAAGTTTGTCCCCGGGCGCCGGGAAGGGTCGCTACGCCTCTCCCACGAAGCGTTTTCAGAGCAGCTTTTTCCAAGCATCCCCCTCCCCCAAACGAAATAGAATATAGGGCCTATATAGAAAATGTCCGCCCCCCCCCCCCCACTCCACCCGGAAAATTTAGTCCGCCCCCACACGCAAATTCCAAGTGGATTTGGAAAATGGATGATTTACCATACGAGAAAATATGAATATAATAATAATATCTGCCTCGATCAACAGCAACGCGTCTTTCGGTCGACGTAACTGCAATGCACGTGATCCCGCATCCGTCTAAAAAGAGAAGCACCTAGTGTCAGAGTTTCTTCCAGGCATCTCTTCGGGGGGGGGGGGGGGCTAAGCCCCCCCGAAAAATTTTTACCGCCCCCCCCGAACGAAATGAATTTTATATAATTTATATAGAAAATATATACTTTTAACAGTGTCCGCCCCCCCGAAGAAAGTTTACCGCCCCCCCCGAAGATTTCAAGTGCCCCCCCCCCCCCCCGGAGAAAAAAGTCTGGAAGAAACACTAGCGTTAGTCTCAGCTTCATGGCTTCTTATACCTACATTGTTTCTCGGGGGTGGGGGGGGGGGGGGCTCTAAAAAAAACTTTAGGAAGGGGAGGCAGACGCTAGTAAAACCTAAAAAGTATATATTTTCTATATAAATTACGTTTTTTCCAATTTCGTCCGAAGAGGGGTGGATGTGCTGCAGGAGGTGCGATATGTGGTGTTGATGGTGGGTTTGAAAGAGACTCGACCACTGAAGTGACATTTGAACACCATCCATTTACACATTATGGGCCTTTAAACACAAAATTTACATGGTATCTACGCCTGCAGAAAATATTAGCGAACGGTTAATGGTGAACTATTGTAGTCAGTGGCGTCGCGAAGTCTTTAGTATTTAGCAAAGTATATATATATATATATATATATATATATATATATATATATATATATATGTGTGTGTGTGTGTGTGTCTTTAGTATTTAGCAAAGTATATATATATATATATATATATATATATATATATATATATATATATATATATATATATATATATATATATATATATATATATATATGTGTGTGTGTGTGTGTGTGTGTGAGTGTATGTATATGTGTCAGTAGCGTTGCGAAGGGGGGGGGGGTCGCCAAAATGGGTTGGAAAAATAAATTGAAAGGTCGAGGGGGGTGCAAATCGAAAGTTTGAGGGGAGGGTGCAAATCGAAATCTCGAGGGGGGGTGCAAATCGCAAAGTTTGTCCCCGGGCGCCGGGAAGGGTCGCTACGCCTCTGATATGTGTATGTATGTGTATAAGCTTTAATCACTGCAGACTTAATAGTAACGATGTTCATCTATAGTGTGTTAATAACACAGTTGGATGTTGCATTTTTTCCCCAATAGTGAGCTCGTTTACGTCATGGTGTCACCCCACCCTCTTGTAATAATTGTCGATTTGCACATAAAAGACTATTTAAACTTAATTAAACATTAACTGAACAGGCAAAAAGTACTTTTCTTCTGTACATTTTGCTATTTTTTGCCTTGGTGTCACCCCCCCCCAATGGTGTCACACGGTGCGGTCCGCAGTCGCACCCCCGCCCCGCCCAGTGTTTCTTCCAGACTTTTTTCTCCGGGGGGGGGGGGGGCACTTGAAATCTTCGGGGGGGGGGGGGGGGCGGTAAACTTTCTTCGGGGGGGGGGGGGGCGGACACTGTTAAAAGTATATATTTTCTATATAAATTATATAAATTTCATTTCGTTCGGGGGGGGGGGGGGCGGTAAAAAAATTTCGGGGGGGGGGGGCTTTGCCCCCCTGAAGAGATGCCTGGAAGAAACTCTGGCCCCGCCCTCTATACGCCTCTGATTGTAGTACATCTAGTGCTAAATCCTAAATACTTTTTGACATGGGATCCAAGTCAAGATTTTTGCACGTTGTTGGTATATTTTTGGCGGGTAAAATATTTCATTAAAGAAATTAAATACTTTTTGCCACAGGAACACGTGGTCACGATTTTCTCTATATTTGATAAAGATATTTTAGACATTCCTTATAGACAGGGGCGGAACTACAGTGCCGCCAGACCCCGCAACGCGGGGGGGCCCAGACCAATTGGGGGCCCAAAAATCCTGGCTAAATTATTTTTAAAAAATTAAAAAAAAAAATTAGGTGGAGGTCGAGTTATCTTTCTTCTACAGTTACAAACAAACACGATAGTCGGCAAACGTCTTTGAGAAAAATGCACTGACTATAGCTCGAGAGACCGCCAGACATATCGACAACTTCAAAGACGAAGCATCTGAAATTTTGACTGTGCCGGTACGCTTTGAAATCGGGCTGGGGAAATGTTGCGGCGAGGCGACGATCCTGGTCTTTTAGACTATCGGAAAAAGTCGGCACTATTGATGTAGATGTTTATCGGCGCTTTCTTGTCCCCTTCCCTTCCCAACTCTCCCCCTCCCCCCTACCCCTCACCACACCCTTACTCTTACAATAAGATGTAATGCATAGATTAACGAACCGTCTATGAACTGTAAACTGACCACTTCTGCACATTTTGTTAAAGACACTAGTCAGTAGTTGTTCATTTACCAGGGGCGGAACTACAGTCCTGCCAGACCCCGCAATGCGCGGGGGGGGGGGGGGGGAGGCCGTTCAGGGGCCCACGGCTGACCAAAATTTTTTTTTTTTAAATTTGGAATTTAATTTTTTCCTTAATATTTGGTTTGTAAAAGAAAAACACTGTAGCTGCGGTACGATTATCTTTATTTTACAGTCACTATACCACGCTCTTCCGCAAAAGATAAAATCCATTACACAAACTACAGTGTAAAATATAGACAACTCTTCAAATTTTGAATGACTTCTTTGACTCGTTGACCCCCCCCCCTCCCTTTGATAGCTAAATAGAGGACACGTAACTGTTTGACCGATCCTCCAAAGTATACTGTGGCGGATGGGGCAGGGGATGGGGACCAAAAAGGGGGTTATAAAATTGTCGACAAATTCTTTACATATTTAAAACAGTTATTTATAGTTGTATTTTTTAACCATCGTCAAGGCCGAGTTCTATTTCCCTACAATCAAACACACGCTGTCGCCGGCAAAATTCTTTTTAAAAAAACAACAAAGTCCATAGCACGAAAAGCCGCTACATATGAAGTGAGCTTTCAATACTTTCATGATGCGCGGTTCTTATTTGCGGCATTGGTAGGGGACCCGAAATCCATTGTACATTTTTCAATGTTAATATGTGTTTGTGATAGTGGTTGAATTTGTATCCTGTACTATCTTGTATCGTACAAATAATTTAAAAAAAATATAATACTAGAAACTTCAGTTTTATATACGTTTACTTGTTTTTGATTTTACAAGAAATATAGTAAACTTTTAAGGCCTATACTTCAAATTATCTCCCCTGAGTAAGTTTTACAATGGGCGATGCTGACGTACATAGATCAAGGCGTTTTGTTGTCCCTTTCAAGTTTTTTCCCGAGCCGACCCCCATCCCATCCCTCTTTCTCAACCTCACAAGTATCGAGGAGATAAATGTATCGTTTATGAACTACTTCCTAACCGAACGATTCACCACTTCAGCACATTTTGTCAGACACTAGACAGCACTAGATCTAGTCAACACATATTAATTTACTTTCATAGTATTAGGCACATCTAATTCACAAAACAGGGCAGGTAATATTATTTTTTATATAATTATTTAGAAATTAATTAGAACGTTTAGAATTAATTGAACATTATTAATAGTCATTGAGGTGGGGGTGTGTGAGGGTCTGGCTTTTTGTTAATCCCCCCTCCCCTAAATCAGAAGGTTATCCAACGCGTGACCTGGCCACATACAGTTGTACATGTGAAAAACATTTTTCTCTCTAATATTATTATGCATTACTGCATCATTCACCCAATCGCCATGAAAACTTGGGAAGCTGTTGAGTACAGCCCCGCAAAGGTTTCTGTCATAGGCCTAACAGCTCTGCCGGAAGAAACAATGTGTGACACCCATCACCCGTGCAGTAATGTAACCGGTAGCTCCAAGAGCCCCGTGACTCCCCTGACACCTGGGCCGTCGCAGAGGGATTTACAGCATGCCTTGGCGTGTCTAGTTGGTAGTGTGGACAAACCCGCGCCCTAAGATCCAAGAAATGAACTGCCGACATTGTTAACATTTAAATTTAATTCAACTTCTGGAAAACAGGGCACACGGTTAGTAACGTTTTGATGAAAGCCTCAGTTTGGTGTGTTGGACTAGATTTAGAAAGGGGCCAGCTCGTGTGTTGGAAAACCTCTGATTTATTCGTGTACCAGATGGAATTTTTTTTAAATTGAGAGCGAACCTTGTTTATATATATATATATATATATATATATATATATATATATATATATATATATATATATATATATATATATATATATATATATACACATATATGGGGGGCCCAAAAAATTTTTTTGCGGGGTGGCCCATTTTTTCTAGTTCCGCCACTGCTTATAGATCTATATAGTAGATAACTAATTAGACGTTCTTGATAAAAAGAAAAACGTCTTATTATTATTAAGATGCCTCCAAATTAGAGTAGGCTTATAATTATATCTTTGATTTACATTATCTAGTCATTCTATTTCTAGTTTAGTGAGATCATATTCTTACTAAAGGCCTAGTCGATTAAATTTTTTGTGTGCATTGTCATTAGGCTCAAATTTATTTGAAAACTATAGAAATATAATATTTAAAAAAATATTAATTACTAAAATTAATGAGAAGAGTATAATACTTTAAATTTGCGTTTTAAAATGTATTAGTCTAAACATTAAAATAAAGCTCGTCAAAACAACTGCATTATGTACGCTGAAATATTAGCCAATCGCCTGTCGAGAAATACCCCTGCGACTTGGCATGCGCGCGATTTCCTGCCGGAGGTTTCCGTAAAATGTTTATTTTGTTTGTTTACAGATCGCATTCAATTTTTGCTAATATATTACCATATTAACCATCTATAGTTTGCTGCAGTGCGATACACTAATATTTCAGTTATTCAGGTATGCTAAACATGTGTTACAATATGATTTTTTCAATTAAAAATAGTATTTTTTGATTTTTTTATACCATGGTATGAAAATCGGGAGCTCGTTTCGTGGGCCAGGTCTATTTGAGCCCAATTTTAGCTGAAATAGCGAAATTATTTCACAATAAAGCATACACATTATTTTTACACATACTAAACTTAATTTTGTGTATGAATTCAGGTTTATAGCTGTGCTGGTTTTACGATGACATTATGAAATAAACAATAATTTGGTAGGGACTAATAAGTTAAAAATTTTACAGTGGGTTCCCTCCCCTGCTGCCCTTGGCTCACTCGACCAACGAAGACTGGTTGGACGCAGTGTGCATAATGTACGCTTAGAAAAGTGCACGAGTAACTCTGGGATAGCAAAAAAGTATCGCCAGCTCAGAATTTCATTGTTATCTGTCTTCGTTAATTTTGTTAAATATTAAACTGAGTAAAAATGCTATGCCTTTTAAAGTAGTAGGCTTACAGAATCTAGAAAGTCTAAAAAAAAATAGTAGCCTAAAAACTAAAAGCCTTAACCTACCAACTACCAAGGTTTTAGATTTAGTCATTTAGTCTACAATAAACAATAGGCCCTAATTTAAACATGTTTTTATTTGCTTCAGTCTTTTCATATAGAATAGATCTAGATTCTAGATCTAGAATAGATGTATTCTAGAACTAGGCCTAGATCTATATCTTCAAGTCAATTAATATCTACTTAATACTTATCTAGATACTATTCTAGATCTAGGAATCTAGTTTGATGAAACATTCTAAGTTTTGAAATGAGGCTGGCTAAAATATTATTTTAGGTTAGTAACTAGATCTAGATCTAAGTCTAGGTAGATTTAGTTAGTCTAGTTAATCTAGTCATTTAGAAACAAATTAGGGAGTTGTATTAGCTAGTAGTTGTAAACAGTGTTTCTTCCAGACTTTTTTCTCCGGGGGGGGGGGGGGGGGCACTTGAAATCTTCGGGGGGGGGGGGGGGTAAACTTTCTTCGGGGGGGCGGACACTGTTAAAAGTATATATTTTCTATTTAAATTATATAAATTTCATTTCGTTCAGGGGGGCGGTAAAAATTTTTCGGGGGGGCAAAGCCCCCCCGAAGAGATGCCTGGAAGAAACTCTGGTTGTAAAATGTTCAACAGGGTTTTCAGTTTCACACCAACGAAAATGTTTTGTTATTATTAGCTAAATATGTTTACCAGTTGTTGTAGATCTAGGACAAGTTTGCTGTAATGCTTTTACGGGTCATCTTTCAGTTCTTGTTCTTCTTTATTATTAAGTTGTAAATGCTATGCTACAGGCCAGTATTATTTGGTGAAAGGCCTTTTTCTCCAGGAAAATTGATTCCTGTCACTTCTATTTGAGATAAGGCTAATGTAACCCTATTCATATTTTGGTGTTTGTTAACATTAGTCTCTTGGATCACTAGACCTACTACTTTCAACATGTAGTGAAGTTCTGTTTGTGATACTTATCTTAAATGTTTAGTATATTTGTTATGTATTGTATAAGTTTAATCTGCTAAACTGCGCTGTTAAAAGTAATGGCTTAATAGGCTAGGCCAAAACATCTTAAAAATTGTTTTAAATTAGTTTCAACTGAAATACTATATGAATGTATATGTATATATATATATATGTATATATATATATATATATATATATGCATACATGCAAATCTTAGACTTTGTCCTTTTCCAATTTTTTAGGTTTAAGACCTGTGAACAGCTGATATGGCCAAGAGTGTACAACATTCCAAAATTGTGTATCCCCCGGGATGCAAAGAATTAACCGAGGATGTTGGGAAAGATGAACTTATCAGAAGATTAAAGGTTTGCATTTATAAAATATTACTGCCTACAAATCACTTTTTTTTTGTATGTGTTTGTTAATGTATTAAGTTATTTAAAAATATCTTGTGATGAATAAAAATGCTTTTCAAATATAATAATTGTTTCCCTTAAATGTGAACTGTATTTACTACAGCTTAATAATACACAAACTACTTGGCATAGACATTAATAGTACAAAAAGTATGTCTTCATGCAAATGTATGTAAAAGGTTGAAAATAAAATTTGCAGGTACTAGCAAGAGCCTTTCAGGATATGGGACAAGATGACAATGACAGCTATGCACCTTTAGCCCTTCACCTGGCTACAGACACATATCTAGAACACAGCAATAAGGATGTTCGTCTTCTCACAGCTTGTTGCATTGCTGATGTATTCCGCATATTTGCACCTGAAGCTCCATACAAAGAGTCTGATCAGTTAAAAGTATGTTTTCTCGTGATGGTTTTTTAATGGTATTTTAAAAATAAGCTTTAGTTTATTTAACAAAATGTATGATTTACTGGTTATTACTTTTAACTTTCTCTGTGTGGTAGGAAATTTTTCTGTTCTTCATTCAACAATTAAGAGGTTTGGAAGATCCTGATGCCCCATCATTCAAGCGTTACTTTTATTTGTTAGAGGTAATCAATTTTTATTATCTGTTTGTCATTTTAAAACATTAGTTGAATAAGATTAACTGGATATGGAATTAGAGCTTATTTTAAAAAAAAATTGTTACTCTGCTCTTTTTTTTTTCAAAGCAAACTTCAGTACTTTATTTAGTGTTAATCAGGTTTTTATCTATTCAAAGCAAAACTGAACAGAAATTTTTTTTTAATCTTTGAGATTTATAATTAATAAATTATACCACTCGTATATATATATTTCTTTTATTGCATGGGCTTGAGTTAAGAAGCATGTATGTAGCATTTTTAAAAAATTACAATTATAAAGAAAAAGTTGCATATTTATATAAGTTGTATATTTATACAGCAACATTGATTATGAATTAAATGGTCTGAAATTTGGAATAAAAATGTATTAATAAAAGAGTATGATGTAGCTTATGTGTTGGGGGAATTTTGTGTGAGCTTTTTTTGCAGACAGACTCATTCACTGAACAACACTGGGCTTTTAGTCTTATGTAGATCTGAAAATGTTATAACTTATTTGTATTACAAAAAATAATTGTTAATTAAACTAAACTTGTGTATTGGCTGAAATATTTTTGGATGTCCTTGTAAGGATTTTTGTAAACTTTTAAGATACACACGCATTTAGAAAAATATTTTGTGGTTTGTATTACTTCACGAAGTAAATAAAATCTTGTTTCAGAATCTGTCATGGGTGAAATCATTCAATATTTGCATTGAATTAGATGAAAATCAAGAGATTTTTTGTGCACTCTTCAAGCTGTTCTTTTCTATAATAAAGTAAGTTGCTTGTTCAGCTGTCAGAAAATTAAATTTTTCATACCATTGCTAAATTGGATTTTTATAGTATAAAATCTTAAATTCTATGTTGTTTTTTTACCTCCATAGTGAAAGACACACAAGTAAAGTAAAGACTTTCATGCTTGATATCATGTCCCCGCTCATCTCCGAGGCAGATTTTGTTTCCCAGGAGCTGCTGGAGGCCATACTTGTCAACATGGTTGACCCCAACAAGGTAATTACTGTAATTTAAATTGTAAGTCAAATTGTAAATTTGTAATTTAAACTACTGACAGATTGCTGTATTTATGCTATGTAATTGGCTTTTTCTTTAGACTCAGAAGAAAATGGCATATGCAATGGCTAAAGATTTGGTGAAAAGAACATCTTCAACCATTGAACCTTACATTCAAACAGTAAGCAAACATTTTTTAAATTAAATTGTAGTGGTCTCTAGATATTTAAGAACATCTTTATTAAACTTTTATTTAAAAATATTTTATTTTATTTTGCCCTATTCATTATTACCTAATTTTTCTTTTGAATGAAATTCGCAGCAAAAAGTTTTGTTGAGTAAAGATTTTTAAAAGCTTACATTCACATCTTATATATTGTAATATATCTTTGAAATTAACAATTATTACCTGGAAAACCCTGAAAATATAATTAATTTTCTCTGCATACATTATTGTCAGTGTTTAAATAAGCATAGTTGATTGTTTAAAAAATTACGAATAAATTTTTGTCACACTTTTTCAGTTTTTTAACAACATGCTGATGCTGGGTAAGCAGGCTAACAATGATGTTGGGAACCACCTGTATGACCTGATCTATGAACTGAACCAGGTTTCTCCTAGTATTCTGCTAGCAGTTATTCCACAGCTAGAATTCAAACTCAAGGTATACTCAAACTTGTTCTGTAAACTCTGTAAACTCAGTAATTTTAACCAATGCAACTATTTAAAAAAAAAACCATCCTAATTTAATGTTATGTGTTGATTTCTATGTAGAGTAATGAAGAAAGTGAGAGGAAAAGTGTAACAAAACTACTGGCTAAAATGTTCTCAGAGAAAGAATCTGATTTAGCCTCACAAAATAGAGCCCTCTGGGTTTGCTTCTTAGGAAGGTAATTAGCAAATTTATGTTAATAATATAATGTATTCAATATAAAAGCTGTTTTTTTTTTAATAATATTAGAATTAATTTAAACAATAAAAAGATGCAAAAAGATGGATTTTAAAAATATATATATTTTTTATAGATTTAATGACATTAGTGTTGCCATAAGGACAGCTTGCATACAACAGACTCATCACTTTATACTTAATCATCCAGAGCTGGTCAAGGACATACTGGGTAATTATTATTTTACCTTTATTTTATATATTTGTGTTGATTAGAGAATCTGGCATCAGTTCAAGCTTGTTTTTTTTAAAGTTGAATAGACTGGCTTAACACTTGAATCTTATTCTGGAAAGACATAAGGCTGATTTGAATTGGTGGTTAGTGAAAGGGTAGCACAAACTGAAATAAACTTGTGGGGTTAATGTGAAGTCCTATCAGGTGTGTTCTTTATAAGCATTTGAATTGCAAAACAATTCAGATGTAATGGTGTATTGTGACAATTCAGTATTTTGTTTTCATGTTCAGATATTATTGAACTTGTTTTAAATTCTCCTTTACAGATCAGATCAAAGTTCGACAACATGACCCTGAGGAGTCTGTTCGCATGGATGTAGTCAATAGTTTACTGACAGTAGCAAAAAAAGACCTGAAAGTTATGACGCCCGAAATGCTTCAGTTTGTGAAGGAGAGAACTTTGGATAAAAAGGTTTGCCCGAAGTTCTTAACTATCTGCAGTTTTGTTGTATTTGAAATTTTAGATTTGTGTCTGTGTTTTTAGATTGGACAGATAACTCTGATCTTGCACATCCTATATTTTGTTTTTGATTCATTTGCATTTCAGTTCAGGATTCGTCGTGAAGCCCTTTTGGGTCTTGGCTCTATGTATAAGCAGGCTATTATTGACAAAGATCAACCTGATCCAGAAATGGTTAGCCGACTAGACTTTGTGAAAAACAAAGTGTTCCACCACTATTACCAGAACACACCAGATGACAGGTAAGTTTATTATTAATGAGGATTGTATTTGAATAATCACCTGACTTGGCATAGTTCATTTTGGCACAGATTATTTGTCCTGAAAAGGAAAAATGATTTTTATTACTTGATTCATGAACGTATGACAATTATTACAGATTGCTGGTTGAACGGATGTTGAATATTCACTTGGTACCATACCAGAAGCCAGTGAATGAAAGGATGGCAATACTTTTGAACCTGTATACCACACTTGATGAGCATGCAGTCAAGTAAGAATGCATATTTCTTCTATTTGATACCTTTTAAATAATGTACCAATTGTAGTTCTACTTTACTTATTTGTGTGTACAATTTTTTCCCCCAGGGCTTTCTCAGAAATGTTGAAATGCCGAAATGTGTGAGTATAAGATTTTTTGCTATTGTCTTTTAATTAAATGGTAACCTATTTATGAACTATTAAAAATAAATAATTAGCCTCTTGATTCAAGTTGATGGTAAAAGTAATTCTTGAAAATTTTGAATCTTTAGTATTCGACAACTGGTTCTTCAGCTAGTAGATGCCCATGAAAGAGCTAATGAAGCTACTCCCCCGACCGTAATGCCAAAGCTAATTCAGTTGGGGCGTAAGTACATTTCCTTGTTTATGTGTCTCTGCTTTTTAAGCTTCAATCTATTTCCTTGATAGGTTTTTTTGCAATATATTTTTTTCTTTATTTCAGGCACTATGCCGGAGCAGTTGAAACCTCAAGAATATTTAAAGAAATTTAATTTGATGATTAAAGATGACGCTCGTCTAAGGCTGTTAGTGAAAACATTAGTGGGACCTTCATGTACTTGCAAGAAAGCTGAAGAAATAGTGGTATGATTTTATCAACTAGTATTCTGTTTTTAGTACAGTAAAATCCAATTTATATTGAATTAGAGAAGTTTGTTGCATATTTTATTTTTAGTTTATATATTTATTACTATAAATTTGCAGAAGGAAATATTGAAGAAAATTGGCTGCACCACAGGAACACCAAATATTTTCTACCAGCTTGTGAAGACACTATTAGAAAGAATTGCCCCAGTAATGGTGGATGCATTAGCAGTTGATCATCTAGTATTGGCTGTTTCAGAGCGGGTTGCAGGAGTTGATGAAGAGTTGCGGGATGCTGTGGATGGTGGAGAGCAAAAAGGGGTGCAACTTTTACTGGTAGGCTTTAATGTTTCAGTACAGCAACATTATTAGCAATTTATATTAAAGCAGAGTAACCTAATTAATTTGAGCAACTATTAATATTCTAGCATTTAAAAATCAATCATTTTTAAAATCAAAGAAATACATCAACAGAATTAACATGGCGTAACTTTGTAAGCACTGCTAATATAATTCTGTATATCAAATGATGCTCTTGAAATTTAGCTGTTACGTGATTTATTTTCAAGATGTTTTAAAAGATGTTAACTATTATCTGATATTTTTTTCTACACAAAAATAAGGCTTAAATTAGTTTATTTTTTTAAATGCCTATTTCAGACTTTATCCCAGTATTTTCCCCACTACTTCAAGTCTGTGGAGATTTTTGAAAACTTTCTTACATTTGTCAAACATGATGATGATGTTGTCAGTGAGTTGAAGTTTTTAATTGAATCATTTTTTGCGTTGATTAAATGTAACATTTTATAGTGCTCACCTCTTTGACACTATTCTTCCTCAGGTGATTTGTCCATACAAATTATAACTAACACAGGCTCACATCTACACATGGATCACCCAGATGTTTATTCGTGAGTAATATTTTGTCTTGTTAAATACTAGAACCATTACACTGGAAGCAAGTAGTGATGATAGCCATACAACTTGATAGCCATACAACTAAAGACATAACCCAGGATATGCGAAAAGCTATTGACTCCTTAGTTTCTGTAAACTCTTACAGTGTTAATCTCTTTCAGCTCACTGGTTCCTTTGCTGATCAATTTAGCTAAGTATGGTTCGCCTAGACAAGCCAAGCATGCCCTTAGGTGCATAAATACTATATGTATTAATAAAGAACAAGCCATATCCAACATTTTTGAGGTAAGAAAGTTTTTTTTTACTTCTTGTTTCTATTTATTAGCTTTCTTTGTAACTGTTACAGGGATCCACTTTATACAGTTGCTGTGATAAATTTCAAATTTAGTGTCCTGTGGTTAAAGCTCGTAAACCTTCTGGTTTTTTCTTTCTTCAGTCGGTCCAGACAGCTCTAAACCCAGACAATGCTAATTACTTGACTGCCATCGTCTCTCTTGGACACATTGCCCAGCTGTTCCCAAAACTTTATAGTGGAGAGATCAAGAGTATTGTGTCTAAAATTATTGTTAAAGATCTTTTGATGAAAGATAGGGTGAGTTTTGTTTTCATTTTGTCAATTGTATTCTAAACATACTTCATGTGTTTAGACTTATCTATTTAAATATTGTTATTTTCTTAAAAAAAAAATATATACCACAATGATATCAATATTCTCAATATTTATCAGACACAAGGTGCTGCTACTGAAGAATCCTGGTGCTCTGACCATCAAGTATCAGATGAAACCAAAGCAAAGGTAACTGCAAGATAAAATTTTATAAATAATAATTCATTCCATGATGCTTGTGAGTATAACATATTTAAACTAAAAATAAATATTTGTTATTTCTAGATTCAAGCAATGAAGCTTTTAGTGCGTTGGTTACTTGGTCTTAAATCAAACACAAGCAACTCTGGTACCTCTACACTTAGACTTCTGTACACAGTTATCATTCATGACGGGGACCTCATGGAAAATGGATTGACAAAGTAAGCTCACCAATTTTTACTTTTAGTGTTTAATTGTTTTTTTATTGGCGTGAAAACCTCAGCATAAATGACTAGGATTGTTAGAGTTAAGGTAATAAAATATATTTATTTCTCATTTATACCATTGGAAATATCAAACTAAAATGCTAGAAAGTAAATTCTAAAGTTCAGAGAAAATACATTTTGAATACAATCAATAGGAAAACTAGTAGGGACAAAGCCTTTGCAATTCAAATTTGTCACTTTGTTGAGTTTTATGAAAATAGTTTTGAGGAAACTGATAAAAAAAGCCAAGAGAATTCTGATGATGCAATAATTTTTGTCAAGTGATTTGCAAATAAAGTTGACTTATTTTCTTTAGTAAACCTGAGCTGGCCAGACTTCGTCTTCAGGCTGGATGCTGCATGCTCAAGTTGGCTGAGGAACCTTGTTATGCTGAAATCATTGTGAAGGAACAATTTCAGGCTCTTGCCCTTATGTTGAATGTAAGAATTGTGCATTATAATTATATAAGGCTATTAGTTGTAATGGTTCTTTTTGGTAGATTAAATATTGGTAATGTTTTTATAATTTGACTATTTGTATCTAGCATTCTTTAACATTTGATTCACAGGATGTTTGCTATCAAGTGCGGCTACGCTTTGCTAATCGCTTACAGAAGGGTCTGATAAGTCTTAAGCTTCCCTTGGAATACATGTCTATCCTGTGCCTGGGAGCCAATGACCCAACCAAAGAGAGAAGACAGCAGCTAAAGCAGTTTCTGTCACAGAACATCAACAAACGACGAGAGTACATTAAACAAAATCCAAGTGCAAGGGGTTTGTATTTAAAATTAATTTTAAGAAATGAAAAAAGCAATGCAGACTTATTTAAAACTATTGAAATAGTGACTAAATTTTTGTTTTAAAAATCATAGTTGCATAACCCAAAACTCTGTAATCAGTAACAAAAATTAAAATTTAATTGGATCAATGCAAGAAACTAAATTATACGTTACTTCTAAAAACATAGACCCACTACTTGTGAGTTGTCATCACTTTTTCATAATATTAAAAGAATTCTCTTCAGGCCTAGCTATCCATTGGGCAGATGAAGTAGACTTCTATTGTTTCTTGACCTTAGCATATGAAGGGAGTTTGTGGTCAGTACTTTGCCCAGCCATCTTTACTTTCCCTAACATGAGTTAGGTACCCATCAGAGCTGGGTGGACTCAGTAACTTTGACCCAGATTCAAACTCTAGACTTTTGGGTTAGCAGCCTAGCGCTCTACTGCTTACGCCACACCTTTCCATCTTTTTTCTGTACTCTAGTGCTGGTAGCATTCCTTCAGTCTGAGATGCTTAGTACTCTCTTTTCTTACCTTGTCATCAACCTCTTAGAACTTGTTTTGTTGAAGGAACTTTGAGGCTGAATGACAATGTATTAGTAATTATCATATTTGTACTGGGATTTAGAATTTGTTGATGAATCCCCAGGGCGCATGTTTTACCTACTCCCTGACTATGTCATACCCTACACAATACACTTGCTTGCTCATGATCCAGACTTTAAGTCCTATGAGGATGTTGACAGCCTAAAAAGTTTAAAAGAGTGAGTATATTTATTCAAGTTTTTATTTATGGTTAACAATTTTAGATTATCCTTTTCATCACTATTGCTGTTAACTGTTGTTGGTTGTTTCACTCACAGTTTTCATTTTTGGTTTTAAAAGGCCAACAATTATATAGCCTTATTGGCTTTTTTAACTCAAATGATTTCTAATTTTTTTTTAATATTTAATTTTTAAAGTGTCGCTATCTTTTGTATTGTGACTTTTTTCTGTATAGTTAATTTTAAACCAAATCAAAATAAAAAGAACATTTTTTAGCTACTTGCTAATTTGAAAATTTTGTTTTATGGGTTTAAATAGTTAAAATGTTTAATTTTGATTTTGCACAGTTATGCCCCTTGAAGCTTACACAGTAAATGACACAGTTAGAGTTGCTTGAGACAAGAGAGTTTATATTGATTTAATGTGTTGATTTGTGTGTGTCCTACAGGTGTTTGTGGTTTATGATGGACCCACTCACACACAAGCATGAAGACTACAACTACGCATTCCTAAGACGAATGATTGAAAATATCAAACAAACAAAAGATGCCCAATGCCCTGATGATGAGTCTGCTAATAAGGTTCACTCAGTTATACACACATATGCTATCTTTTAGAAAAGCTGGCCAGTTGGCATTGTAGTAACATAAATTTATGTAAATTTTTTAAAGAACTTATACTTAAACATTTTTAAGTGCTTGCATATATTTAATTTTTTGTTTTCACAGAAAATGTATGCAGTGTGTGATATAGCTTTAGGATTGATGCATGCAAAGGCAGGTACAATAACTCTCAAGGAAGTAACTCAAGAACCAATCCTACCAAGCAAATTGTTCACATCACCTGACAAGGTATCTTGTTTTTCTTGACATAGAGCTTGTACATAGCATTATTTGCAGTAGCATTTTTGTGTGTCAAGGTAATGGATGTATAGCTACACATTGCCCATTTTGAATTTCCACAGAACTATTCCAACCTACAGAGTTATTTACCCAAAGATTTTCCATTTGAGGCAAAGGTAACAACCACTGTTTTAAGTTTATTTGAATTACATTTTTAAGCTTTGCCTTAGTAGTCTATAAAAAGTAATTTTTATATTCAGATGTCACATCACACTTAATAAAGAAATTAACAAATTAAAAAAGTATTTTTAAAAACCCATTAGATTGATGTTGATTATGTTTTCATTAAATAGTGTATTTATTCCGAAAAAAATCTGTAAATCTGCTTACGGCAAACTTTGTATTGCTCTTTATTAAACTAGAGACGGGTTGGAGGCTCAGTGAATTATACTGGTGAGGTGAAGAAAGCTTCAAATGAACCAACAACCACTGAAATAGTTGTCCTGAGCCACGCTCCTGTCGTTAATCCTTTACCCAGAGCACCACCTCATTTCAGAGAATCACATACTCGAAGGAAAAAGGCTACTGAGTGAGTACAATTTTTCTATTTTGCATACAAGTTTATTTTTTTTTACTTTTTAGCTTAGTCTCTTAGTGTGCTATTAGTGGGTTAACTAAAAATGCTTTACTTTTATACAACTTAATATGTTTTTATTGTTAAGCATTTTGTTTTTATCTGAACGAATTCGTTATTAATAATGTTATTTTATTATTTAATTATAGAAATGAGAAGAGATCTGTAGGAGAAGGGTTTGATTCTGACTCACAGTCCCCAAAGCAGTCTGACACAGACGAACCAGCAAAGCAAAAGCAGTCCAAAGCTAAAAAAGCCTCAGCTGCTGCTGCTTCAAGAAGAGGGGGTGCCAGGAAGAGTAAAGAAGAGGTGAAGTATAAGGAACCAGATGAAGAGGAAGCTGAAGAAGAGGAGTCGCCGCCTGCCAAAAGAGCCAAATCACCACCAGCTAAAGCTGGAACAAAACAAACCAAAATGGAAGATTTTGCTAAGTCAAGACCAAGAGGGCGTCCACCCAACAGTGCAAACAAAACCCCCAATGCTCAAACCAATGCCAAGGCAACTAAAAGAAAACTTCAGAGTCCTATTCTCAAAGTTGTCACATCCCCGACTCCTTCAAAAATAAGAAAGCGGGATGCTGAAAATAATGGTTCGGCAGAGAAGAAAGGTGATGATCGCCCTAGCCCTGCTGTTGTGCGCAGGCTCAAGCCTCCAACCTTGCGAGAAGATTTGTGAGTAGTTTCTTCCCACGTTTTCTTTAACTTGCTTTCTCTGTGTGTTTCTGTGTTTGTCTTTCCAATCCAATCTTGCGATCGAAATTTCTGGCACTTCCCAGTTAGCTAGCGCGCTGAAATTTTCAGGGAAGCTTTGTTTTGGATGACAATTGAATATTCTGTTGTTTTTATTACTAAATTAATCCATGGAAACATTTTATTGATCATTTTAAACCGCTATATAATTGTACCAAAAAACGTGGGGGAAAAGGGACATTACCCAGTAACTGTAATTTGATGAAAACAAGGTTCGGCACTCCCCCTCTTTTTGCTTACTGAGTAGTTGTCACGCTGTGTTTGTGTACAAACAACCATAACGTACCAACTGGTGGCCAGTATGGGGGAGACGATATGGTCGAGTGGTTGGGCACACGATTGCTATCCCACTCGACACGGGTTCAAATCTATGTGTTCTAGTCAGTAACGTATTCACACAACGTGTTTTTTACGAGTTGTCTTTTTACGAGTTGTCTTCGTTTACCCAAAAAAAAAAAGTGAAAAGATAAAATCGATAGCAAGATTTACATGCAAACAAACAGACAAACACTAAAAAGTAGAAAATAATAATCATTAAAAAAGTTTTAAAAAACCCACGTTTTCTGATTGAACTAAAAAGTAGAAAATAAATACTATACATCACAATAATGCAAGCGATCACTCTACTATAAGCTATCAAAAACGTGGGGCGCCGTGATTTTCTTACAGTTTCTAATACTGTTGACTCTCTACAAGCTCCCTAATAAAAGTCAATAGTATTATCTAATCAATAGTAATATACCTTTTACTTCGGCGAACCACGTTTTTGATAGCTTATAGTAGAGTGATCGCTTGCATTATTGTGATGTATAGTATTTATTTTCTACTTTTTAGTTCAATCAGAAAACGTGGGTTTTTTAAAACTTTTTTAATGATTATTATTCTCTAATAAAGTTTTTGTAATTTAAAAAAAAATGTTGCTATTGTGCACCAAAAAATAAGCTGACTGCAAGATTTAGCTAGAGCAAATTTATTAATTTGGTTGAGGTTGTTTATGGTCATTGATTGAATTGTCAGTCGTTCATGTGCACAAGTGATTTATTAACATAGTGATTTCAATAGTGAAATGAGGCGTATGTTAATCTGGTAAATGCTTCCAACAAATATGTATATTCAATGCTTTTTAAATACTGTAAGACTAAATTCTATGCTTGTAAATCATATGTGTGCACATGTTAATGATGTTATCTATCTGCCCCCTCTACTGTTTGTGACAGTAGTCGTAATCCTACTCACAGATCCACCCGCCCCAGTCCAGTTCAAGTCAGTGGAAAACTGTCACCTCCCTCGTCACCAGCATCTGCATCACCTCGCCAAGCTAGAATGTAAGTTTTGTTTTTCTCTTGGACAGGTGGAAGGGGTCAAACACGACTTGGTTTTAAAAAAAAAATTTTTTAAATTATATTATTTTTACCAATTAAAGGCATTAGAGCATTTTCACTATACATTTTAATTTTTATACATGACAAAGTCAAGCATGTATTACTTTTTGTCTGGTAATACTTTAAAATTGTTAAAACCTTGAGGTTTTTAACCTCATCAGGTAAAAAGGTTTATTTGAGAGTAACACAAAACATTAGAGACAATATAAAAATGCTTTGAAATCTTGCTATTTTATTTGTTAAGTAATATTAATAATAAAAAAATGACCTTCTTTATCTATTCAGATCCAGGATAAAACAGGGGGTAGTTAGAACATCAAGCGATTCTGGTTCTGAAAGGTCATGCTCCCCTTCAGCCCCGCCACCCCCAGTCAAAAGGGGGCCAATAGCTAGACCAGAGCCTGTAAAATCCAATCTGCGAAATGTGTAAGTACCTGCTGGTATTATTTGAGTTGGACCAGGTCATTCAGACTAAAAATCAGGTTTATTTCATTTTGCCTTCTGAGTTGTCTTTAATCATTATTTATAAATGTTAATTTTTTATGATTTAGTATGATTTAGCGTTTAAAAAATGCTGAGAGCTTGATGTATTTTGTTTGACTTGAAGGCTGCATTACTATTGACATATTCCAACTTAATACAGATATATCACATTCTGCACTTAATTGAGAAAATAATGTCCACTTTGAGAACTCTCTGGGCCAATGTTATAGTTTCAAAGTCACATTTTTGTTGCTAGAGCAACAATGCTAGAGCTTAATGTTTTAAAAATCTGTCACATTATTTGTTATATTTAAAATGCACTTGTTTCAATGCTCTTAGGAGAAGGTCACGAATAGCAAATGGCACTTCAGATGGTGAAGACACCCCAGAAACTGAGACCTCTCAGTCATCCTCTGCCAGTCTTCCCAAGCCTGCTAGTAATGTACTTTCCACACAAGAAGACGAAGATGATGGCTTGAATGTAAGTACAAACTTCATTTCTGTTGACCCAACTTCCTTGTACACTTCTAATTTTGTGATATCTTTATAATTTGTGTGAACGCACCAGTGAGAAATTCGATCAATGAGAAATTTGATTTATCCTCCCCAGGTGAAAAGAAAGACAAGATTGAGAAAAACATAATTTTGCATTTATATTGTTTTTAATCACATTTCTTGTTATTTGCTGGTTTTTTTTTTGTATAATTGTCTCACTCTTAACATTAGATCTGTCTGGCATACTTTTATGTTTTTCTTCTTCTTTGATGAATATAAATGAATTACCCTTATTGTTTTTTGGTTCACAATTTTTATTCGTAATCCAAATAATTTAGGAGATATTGCTGATCGTGAACATCACTTTAAAAAAGGCTTATGTATTACAATCAAGTAATTACAAATCTCCAGAAAACAATTTTAAATATTTATTTTCATACAAATTTATGTCCATTTTTAGAACATTTATTCTTGTACTGTTAAAATGTCATTGATAAAAGGGTTGTAAAGTTATTTTATACTACAGAAAGAAAAACTGTTAAAGTACTACATAGCAATGTATGTCAGAAATTTTACATACTTTTACATTATAAAGTCAAAAACATTAAAATGTTTTTATATTGTGCCTGTAATGTATAGTTGAAGAGGTTTTTTAAAATTTGAAAACAGTTTTCTTTTACTTTCCTTTTAAAAAAAATTGAACATATAATATTCCATGTTACCAGACAGCTTTTTCATAACTTATCACATTTTGTAAAAATTCATTTTACCAATTCATTGCTAATGTTGCCTTGTAATGCGGTATATTGATTTTAATTAAAAAAATAAATAGCAATAAGTGTTGTTTGAAATTCTGTTCTTACAAGCTTTTATTTAGTTCGCAATGTTTGTGGCGCAGGGATTTTGGTCAAACTTTCCAGATACACTCTTTGATGGTGATACAAGTCTATCTATTCTTTAATTGTTTGGTCATTAAACAGTTCCGAAACTAAGGGAAGATAACAAAAAATTCTATAGATCACGATCTATATTCATTTACAGAAGGGGGATAACTAGCTGATTGCTATAACCCAGCGAAGTGTTCACACTGAATGTTTGCGATGTTGGTTAATGAAAGCTATTAGCGGCAGATACTAGATTATTTGAAACTAATTAGAGGTAGTAATATCCTCAGCTTTTTCTGTAAATTGTGATCACATGGCTGATTTCAGGGGCAGATAAACATTCTTAGATATCCCAAGCTACTGATTTGTTTTAGGGCAAATATTTTTAGTCCTGTCGACTGCATTCATTAGGAATCACTAAAAAGTAGAAAATATAAGAAATATAAAAAAACCTTTATAGTAACAAGATTTTCCAAGCATTGAAAATAAACATTCTTTAATAAAATACTTGGTCACTAAAATGTGTAAAAAGATCTCATGAATGAATAAAGCAAATTATTTTAATTTTATTTTCCGTGCATTGAAAAGCTTGTTGCTATAAACTGTTTTTTTGTTTTATTTTTAAAGTTCATTCATTCTAGTCTTCAGAACTTGGAATGAGTAGTTCGTGATTTACATTTTTTGAGGCATAAACAGATCAGAATGCCCAAGTTACAAGGTCCTTGTATATGGTGTGCCTGGATGTCATCCATATATTCAAATAGTGTACCTTTCAAAAATCAGCGCTTTAAATTTACTGTTTTGACAAGTAATTAAATAAAAAAATAAAGGAAACACAGCAATATTCATCTATTTATTTTTTAACTTTATCCTTAAAATTGATCATCAATTATTTAAAAAGAAAATCGTTAAGCAACCTGAATGGGGGTTACAATGTTGCTGTAATAATTTGTATGGACAAAAAAAAACCATGTGTTGTCATAATACCAAGCATAGATTGACCAAAGTCCAAGTCGGACTAGTTGGAGACATTTAAAATTAAAACCAAACATTGTTCTCCTGTCTAAGGTTTGATTAACAAGTCATTTACAGTAAATCTGATTGATGCTTACATTGTACATGATGGGGGATACAAAACAAACATTTTAAACATAACTGAGTTATTTCTAAAGAAAAAAAAAATGTATATATATATAAATACTGGCAAAAGAAAACACAGCCATGAGAGGATGATTAAATGATTGATACAATGAACTGATAATACCGTACATATGATCATCTTGTATTGCTGTCAGACCTCCCTCTTGAATGATTCCGCTTAATAGTTTACACTCGACAACAAAACGTAATGCAACAAAAAAGAAGAAACTTTTGGATTTCTCAGAATTTGTACATTTGTTCTAACCTGAGAATCAGAATTACAGTATCTTCTAGTTTGTTGCATTTTTAGAAATAATACTTGGTGTCTTTAACAATGAATGACTTTCACTCTAGACAGTACCAATCTCTTTCAAAGTCCTTGTCTATATACATAATTCACAAACAAAATTCTGCAATTATATCTGTCCTGCATATATTGCCCAACTGATCTGTACACAAGCTTACTTAAACATGGACTGGAATGTTCAAAGCTCGATGCAACTATCCATTATAAGCCAAACAGCATTCAATATTTTTTTTTAATGAATATATCTTGAGACAGATCACTGGGATTTTTGTTAATGTGTGCTGTTTATTATATACATAAGGTGATCACAAAAATATCCAGTGAACAAAATTTGTATAGCATGAGATTCAATAACTACACTAGCATACTCTATTGGTCATAAAATTTACAATAGCGATCAGTCACCTGTCGAAGTTGTCTTCTCTCTGAAGTGGCAAGAACATTTTTAACACCGAACACTGCATTCTGTTTTGATAACAGAACCATTGCACAAGACACCAAGTACATCTCCAACAACAACAAAATTCTAATTTACACAAGATAATTTGTACACAATGAGGAAAAAAAAATAGTTCAGCACTTGTACACATTAAGTATGTTGATGAATTGAAAATTACAAACTTATCAGACATAATGAAAAAAAATAATTAAAATAAATACTAACTTCATGTGTTCAAGTGCTGCATGAATGATTAAAAATAAATGAACAGTACTTTGCAAGGGGTGTATTGGTCTTGTGAATATTTTATGAACTTAAAAAAAAAATCACAGGTTTCTTTTCATCTACACAGGAAGTTATCGGTCATATGAATAAAAAATCTGCTACTTTTTAAAGATTTCAGATACAATATCCAGGGCTGACCGTATTAAAATCCATGGCTGCCAGTGTGTGCATTTTACAACTGTATTTATATGGCGTCTGATATTCACACCACGCCTAAAAGGAAAACTCGAGTTTAAAAAATATATAACCAAAGCTCATGATCTATCTTTTGTTAAAGAGAGAGTTTTAAAAATATATTTATACAGATATAAAAGTTAAATGACTGTCACTTAACCTTGTGAAAATCTATTCCAGTTTACTAAATATATCAAATACACCTCTTAGTCAGTGAACAAATACTATTACATATAAACAGGCACAATGTTCAAAGTAAAAAGAAAGATTAAATGCTTTTTTTTCTTATTGCATTTTGTTGGCTTTTTTATATATATATTTTTTTTTAAAAGTTTGCATTTTAAATTTTTTTTTTAATTAGTTATTTGTTTTACACATAGTAGTAAATAACTCAGTTACATGAACAGTCACTTGTAACGAATACCAAAACTTCTACTGGAATTTGAAATCATTCTCTCTTGATTTCAGGCAAACAAATTCTTTTTCTTATTATTAGAGGTTAGGTGACAATACCTACGGTCTAAATAATTTTTTTATAGGGTACATTCGAAAATTTTCTATCTAGTCCACTTCAATTATGAGATTCAATTTTTAAAAAACCCAAATGAAAATAAAATAAATAGTTAAAATCTCACTCTGAGTAAACAAAGAAGTGGACATTACTTAACAAGAAGGGTCAGTCCCAGGTGGTTGGAGGTATCATCATAATCTTGGTGCATCTCCAAACCGCATGAAACCCTCTGATTCACCATATCTGATCCATAAGCACCGATGCTGGAATCATCACCATACAATCTTTTTATCCCATCATAAATATTTTCATCATCAACTCCATCAGACAAAACATGCTCAACCTTGCGCTTCTTAGATAGTGGCTCTTCAGATGTTGAAAATTGACGAGGTCGAACAGTAGTGCAGCTGCTCCCCTTAGTGACGGGTTGGAGGGGTGGGATGCCAAACAATTCTTTAATAGCTTCACGAGCCTCAATCAACTGCATAGTTTGCACCTGTAAATACATTCATTGTATTTAATAGAATAAATGAATATTAAGGGAAGCAGGTCTAAATCATCAACATCAAGCACCGAAAAACATTAACATAAAATAACTTACAAGTTCGTTTATCTGGCACGTTATTCCTCTTACAATTATATATTTACTCTATAAATCAAAATGCATTGAATGGATAGGTGAGACTAAAGTATTAATATTAAGGTGTTAAAAAATAATCAAAGAAAGGCGTACATTAGTCTTAGTCTGAAGCATATGAATAACTCCCAGCCAAGCAGGGGTTCCCTGAACTTCCAGGCTAATCAGTGCTACTGCAACAGTTGATGGGGAAAATTGTTGTATTGAGTGGCATGTCAAGCATCGAATCATCTTTTGCATTAGGATGGCCAGGTGTTCAGAAGGGCTCAAGCTTTTATAGCTGGTCAAGTGGGGGTAGTGTGTAATGGTCACTACATGGAGCTAGAGAAAATATACATTGACATAAATAATGGGGTGACAGAATAAAACAATTTTAATTATACAAGTCAGTCAGATCATTATAAGTGTTTAATGTGCATGTTTTACCGTGTGAAGAAAGTCGACTGCAGATGGAAGTTTTATATCCCAATGGAGCTTATCGAGGATAACCATTTCCATTCTGGCTATTTCTGCAAAAGAGCATCCACATCCGCTTTTCCTCACAAGTTCCGGAGTTGAGGGAATATCCTATAAATTCATTCAAAATTATTTAAAGACTAGTCTTTTATTAAAGAGAAGAAAGTGAAGCAGAACTAACATATAACCATTATGTAAAAATGCTAAATCTTACTTCGTCTTCCATAAGTGTTTTGGCTGCTATATAAAGGCAGGTGAAAGCTAAACATTGCAAATACTTTGCTCGCACCTAAAAAAATATATATAAATTTTAAAGACAATTATCAAGAAGCCAATAATTACCTTAAATGTAACAAAATTTGAAGATTTCTTAGATAATAATTATTTAATTTGAACAAATGGACAGTAGTATACCTTGGCAAGGTCAAGTACTCTGTCCATCAGAAGAATAGCCAAACCACAGGTTTCAGGAAAAAAACTGAAATCGGCTGTTAGACGGGTAATCCACACAGCAGCCTCATCTCTCATCTTTTCAGTGATACCCTAAATCATAAGCACAAATATAAACGTTTAAACCATTGTAGCTGAAAACCTTATAAAAAACAGGTCTATACTTAAAAATATATTATGGTTTATTTCTAGGCTTTGAATTTTCAAAATAAGTGAGCAAGTCTACTTTTTACTTAAAAAAACATTAAGGAATTTTTAAAACTTACCTCATCACAATCAGTTTGTATGTAGATGGGTTTCCATAGCCTGGATTCTTTCTGAAGGTCGGCAAAAAGGGTCTGCATCACCCGCCTAGCATCCAACTCACTGATAAGACGAGGATCCATCCCTCAACACCCCACTGATGCACCAAGATACCTTTGAAAATAAGTAGATTTACTTTATGTATTGTTAGGAAACAAATTAGTGGGCCTGTAAGAAACGTGAGATATAAATTGTAGAGTACTGTGAAAGTAAGTCTACTAGAGCAAACTAACAGGCCTATCTATAGTATAAAAAGGCTAGAGGTGGTCCATAAATGACATCATACTCATAGAATAGCTGCAAGAACTTTAACTTTATCCATTACTAGACCTAGATATATTATATCTTCTAGATCTAGATTAGATCTAGATTTATAATCTAGACTCTATAATTATCTCATACTCTAGATCTATATCATATCTAGTAGTAGAATCTATATATTCTATTTTTTCTAGATCTAGATAATAGATTCTAAGATTAAAGATATAGAGAATCTAGAATTAATAATATAATATAGATCTATCTACTATCTAGATCTAGATCGGAGTAGGCCTAGAGTTTACTTATTTTTTGTTCTAATAATCTAATCTTCTAAATTCTAGAATGAGTCTAGACTCTAGAATCTACTAGAATTCTAGATTGCTAAGTTTATATATAAACTAGATTCTAGAGTAGATATAGATTTCTAGATATCTCGTCTAGTCTAAATAAAAATAATAAATATGAGGTTTAACTTTTCCGTTTTCCAAAACTGGGTCATTCTGACGACATTACTTCTAGATCAATCGTTAAGAGTCAGAATGCTAGAATCTAATTTAGAATCTAGATCTAGTAATTACTAAAATATATAGATCTAGGCCCTAATAAATCTATAATTAAAGCCTTTGAAAAAATTAATACTAGAATAGCTTTCATCTCTATGAAATTAGTACACAAGCTAGAAAGAGGGGATATCAAAAGTAAACTTCAGAAGTGGGCAGGGCAGGGTTACCTCCACCAAAAATGTCCAAAATGATCAACTCTAGAAAGAAAGTCTAGATCGAGATCAGAAAGCGTTACGTTTCAACAAACTAAATTTACCCAACTCACCTGATAACGAACCTGGGAGAGTTGTGCAACTCTGGACACCCTTAGGTCCATTAAAATTTCTAAACTAAAATTACTGCCTTGAAACCTCCATTTTTCTTTCGAAAATACGTCCTATCAATAAGAAAGGAGACTATAATCTGATGTAAGGACTACTTTTGCTGCCAGTGCAAAATAGAAACAGTATTATAGCGCCGAATTTATAATGAGCTTAAGATTACACTTTTTTATCTAATTGCAAACTATAAAGCTAATTTTTGATTATTTAAAATATAGGCAACTACGTTGATTAGCAGGTTAGAATTTTTGTTGCATTAATAAACTAATGTACATATAATATATGTAGTTTAAACGCACTATTTTCTTTAAAAAAAATGAACATATCAAATCAAAATTGGTGTGAACAGAACCAATTCTTGATTATCGGGTTTTAGCAAAAGATTTCATTTCATCAATCGTTCAAGAGTATTACACAATTTGCAATATTTTCATCCTCGTAAAATGTTATTTATAGTTTATAGTGCTATAAAGTTTATTTATACCTTATTCTCAAGGCAGACACCCCTCTGTTTGAACCTAACCCGATACAACCTAGTTATGGACCTGATCTCCGATTGGCTGAAAGCCAGCTCAGTGCTACAGCTGATTTTAAACAACAACAAATACCAAATCTGTTTTGAAAACTTGGGCGTTGCTAGCTTTTGCGCCAGCTAGTTACCCTTTCTTTATTCATATTCTTTGATTCTTTACTGAATTTTATTGGTGTTGACTATGCTGAACTATATCAAGAACTCCATTTAATAAAGATCAGTAAGTGTTGGAGCTTAGTGACGTATTATTAAATTAACAATTGCATTTTACTAGAGATATCTAATCTAGATCAGCTTGCAAGTCTAGAGATCTAGACTACTTTGTTGCTTACTTCCTATTTCATGTTTGTTTACAAAATAGTGCGGATTTGCTGTGACCCAATTTGTATATAACAGATCTACTAGATCTATATAGATCTAGTAGATCTAGATATTCTAGATCTAGTACTATTAGATCTAGACTCTAGATCTACTAGTAGATTAATCAGCTTTTAAAAACGACTTTCTTTAGCATAGCTGGAATGTTTAAAAAACTTAGTTAGGCCTACTTACTAGATCTAGATCTAGATTCTATGTATTTATATAGTATATAGGCCTAGTATATATAGATCTATAATTATAGTGACAGTCTTATAATTATTATAAATTATTAATAATTTAGAGGTCTATTCCTATAATAGGCTATAGTATAGCTATAGGCATATACTATAGTGACTATAGTATAGTCTATAGAGTTGTATAGAGAATCTATAATCTATTGTAGGCTCTGGTTAATATAGCCTCCTAATTATATTTTTTTTATCATAAAATGCATATAGATCTATAGGCCTACTAGATCTAGATCTTATATACCTAGCTAAAATAATTAATAGGATGTTATTTTGAATCAACCCTTTCAACTACTAGCAGAAAGAAACTCTGACCTCAATGTACTTGTTCTCTAGAAGGATACTATCCTAAACATGAAAAAAAAAAATTCAGCATACAGTGGGCCCTAAGCCCTAATGAATGAGTATTGTATTGCTTAAGCTTTGTTGGGTACCAGCATAAGGCAAAACTGATATTAACTACAATGCTTTATAATTATTTTTACTTATAATGCAAAAATATCTTCAGAAGTAAAGGGCATAATCCATACATCCAAAATATGTCACGATCATCAATCCAAATCTTAATAGAACTACAAACCTTTCATTAACACTTGATTCAGGTGGTAGAACAAATGTCAATTTTTTGTTTTGTTATAACAACAAATAACCTCAAAATTGGATTTAGTTGTAGATTTTAGATTTTCCATATACTTAAATATTCTGCTAACTGGTAAAACAAATGTGTTTTTTTTTCTGATTAGTTTAATGTGCAGTTGAACTTATTTGAAAGTTGGAAGATGGACAAGTTGTAATGATGCTACAGTGAAACTCCCAGAACTATTTGTTAGGATATCTGCTTTGGTCTGAACTGGTGTATACAAGATGTGCTTTTTACCTACAGATAAGATGGTAATTTCTTGGTTCATTGTTAGATTGATTTTTTAAACTCTAAAATTAGATATCCTTTAGGAAAACATTTAATTAAAAACAAAACTGTTAATTACATTAATAAATCTCTAGCCAAATAATAATAAAACCTAATTTTTACATTGCATTACTGTGCTGTTAATTTAAATTCAATAAAAATTCAGTTGCATTTTTGTTTTTAATTTCAGACTTTGACACAGTCGGTCACACATAAAATGCAGTGTTTTTTGCAAAGGCAACGACTCTTTCTCAATAAGTTGAACTTAAAAGAGCTGGTGAGTTTTTTTAAATCTATAAGTTGAATCTCCTAAAATATATTTTTCAGTTTTTTATACCTTTCATCGGATCCTAAATTGTGTTAGTCAAGGATGGACCATTGCATTGCTCAGTGTTGCTTTAAAATGGTTCATTATGAACTGAATGTGTGTGTTGACAATAGTATGAACATTGCATACTTGGATATTTAATCCTTCCTTGTGTAGTAGTATGGAATAGACTGTAATTTTTTTTAATGGATGTTTCTTACAAAATGAGTCAAAAAATAAATTGCCTTGTGTTGTAGGCCTAAAGTTGTTTCATAAAATTATTAAAATAATATCCAGAGAGCTAACAGTGAAGTGGGTTTTAACGTTTCCCATTTCTTGTATAGGACAGTAGGCTGCATCTTATCCGTGTGTTTCTTTTAGTTGTTTCATGGGATTTCCCATTTCTTGCTATCGTCAGTAATGAGTAAGGGGTTTATTTTTAAATCGCCACCAGAATCCGCCACCCCCCCCCCCCCCCCTTCCACTCCGGAAGTGAATTTGAATAGGCTGCAGGTATTGAATTTAACACACGCCAGACAAAAACTCGTCTGCTTTAGTAGTCAGTAATACGTGTGGACTAAAAAGATAGCTCTTTCTGTGTTTTCCCCCCTATTTTTGTCACTTTCATTTCCTTTCGCAAACGACGTTGCCTCAAATTTCCATCAACTCTTCTTAACGATCTAGAGGATGTAGTCTAGATATTTACATCTGAACTTTGTTGAATGACATTTTTAAAAAAATTCTCTAAAAAATCGAATGCTATTTCAATGTAGTGTTTTTCCCTAACACACTTATACTTATTCAGTTATACACGCCAAAACTAACAAAATTTCCATATAAACGGGAATTTTAAAATTTTAACGTTGTTTATCTTAAGTTTACGCTAAGTTTTTAACTGACTTCGTTGATAACTGACGTCACTCGACTCAAGGAAGTGATTCATGAGTGACCATTATTCATGGGCGAAATTTCTAAACCATTTTCTTTTATTCAACATTACTTGTTTCTTCTACCTCTACCCGCACTCTTTTCAAAACTGATTGAGCGTAATGAATAGAAGAATCATTGTATTGTATAGCCAACACTGCTAACAAGCTATAGAAGTCGTACAGGAAATTAGGCCTACTCGACCTGAATTTTAAACGAATTGTAAAGCAGACGCAACGTATCACGTGAACATACTTTTGTGCACTCTGACCTCACGGCTATTGTTTTGAGTGTCACATAGGTTTGCGATAGTGTAGTAGTTAAATCCCCCTCTTCCCTCGCCGTCTCGTGTCCAACTTCTTACAACTGACGACTGTTTTATTAGAAAGTAGTGTAAATGAAGCCATTTCGACAAAATATTTAGCAATACTAAAGGTAGCACGAGCATCGACGATCCGGTTTAAACCAACTGGTTGTTAAAATCCGCAAAGTGACCCCCATACGTGACCTACTTACAGACAAGGGCACGCTACCCTAGTCGGAGAAATTATCAAACAATAAAATCAATATTTTAGTTTAGAGGCAATGCATGCAAATCGACAGAGTTCTTCCAAATTTATATATATTAAAAAAAAACAACAAACTATTACTCTTACCTTCTCAAAACGCTATTCGTTTGTCAATGTTTGGAAAAATCGAATTGCCTTGACCATGTCTTGTTAAAAGGCTACTGGTAACAATCGTTACCCGTCTTCTTAAATATAAAAAGAAATTAAAAAAAAAGTTAGGACAGCGTGAAGATTGCGTATTATCGGCTGTTATTGTTGTACACATATCTAAGATAAAGTATTTTGACAGTGTTTAGATATTCGCTGACCTTTGATCTTGGATTTAAAAAAAAAAAATTACGAATAGGCCTACACATTTTCTTCATCGGCCATGACCCTTGGGTACTGGGCTTCCTGCTTTATGTATTGGTAACAATACCGATGTCCGACAATACTCTCTACATAAAATAGGTGTGTTAGGTTGTTAACAGATCTAGAAATCTAGATCTAGTACTGTAATATTAAATTAAGTTTTGTAATTATAGTTTAGTGACTTGGGTTAGGACAATCCCAGATAGAAGTTTGCAAGTCATAGGCCCTATTTGTATTATCATTTAGTTAACTCTACCAGTAATCAAACACCCATTTTGAAGAAGATTCCATTGTTGTGGCATTATCGGACACTGGTAGATCTGTATGTCATTAGCACCAAATAATTATTGCATTCTATATTCATTAGCTTCAAATTTCAAAACTTTTTAGTTAAAAAAATGAAAGAATATTTAATGCATGCCACTGGTAGTTGCCTTACAATCTACAGCTTATGGGGGGGGGGGGGGGGGTTCCAATTAACACAGATTATGTCTTGTAAACAGAAGGATAATGCAGGCATATGATCACTCATATATTTCATCTCTTTACCTAAAAATTAACATTGTTTTTCTAGGGTGAATAAAGATATGCTTGACTATTTGTCCACCATTACCAAAATTCTTGTAGAACAAAGAAGAGTTGGTGTATTTCTCCCAAATTAGATTAAATATGAATTCATCAATTTGTCTACCAATACCAACTTTGTTTGCCTTTTGTAGTTATACTTGGTCTAAGTACCCAATTAGGACAAACATTAATTCATTAATTTGTCTAGTAATACCATATTTTTTCCCCTTTAGAACAAACTGAAGCTGGTCTTAGTATCCAATTAGAACAAAGATGTGTTGGTCTATCAGTCTATTCCATAACCAACTTTGTTTTTGCCCCTTGTAGAACAAAGATGTGTTGGTCTATCAGTCTGTACCATAACCAACTTTGTTTTTGCCCCTTGTAGAACAAAGATGTGTTTATTAGCCTGTAGCATAACCAACTTTGTTTTTGCTCCTTGTAGAACAAAGATGAGTTCATCAAGTACATGGACACCAGAACAGCTTGCTACCACTGCATCAAGGTACCCCACCTGCAGTTCCACACCAGTCCCCAAACTTTTGCAGCAGCCATAAACATCCTGGATGTTTTCTTGTGGAAGGTCAAGGTAACTACAACTTCTGAAACCAGTTCATTAATATTTTTTTTTTATTAAATATCTCTGAATTTCACTACTTTTGGGAGTTCAAGTACATCTGAAAACTAGTTCACTAATACTTATACTTTTATTTTGGTTTAAATATCTCTGAATTTTACTGCTTTTGGGAGTTCAAATACATCTGAAACTAGTTCACTGATACTTTATTTTTTGATTAAATATCTCTGAATTTCACTACTTTTGGGAGTTCAAATACATCTGAAACAAGTTCACTAATTTTGGGTATTTAAATTAAATATATCTGATACTAGTTCAGTATTTTGGTGTGTTTATATTAAATATATCTGAAACTAGATCAGTAATTTTTGTTTTTGTCTACATGTCTCTGAAACTAGTTCACTATTCTGTTTAAGTGTTTCATTGTAAAAAAAATTGTATACACACCAATTCTAATCTTTGGTTAACCATTTCTAATGCTTAAAAAAAACAATTGAAATGACATGTTGCAAAGATGGGGAATATCCTCTAGGTTATTTATAGTTAGCTGGGCTGAGTCAGCCTGATGTAACTAGATATAAATGTGATTAAAACAGAGCACAGGATCTAATTCTTCATTGGTTTCCCCATTAGATGCCGACTACTTACAATAGGGGTAATTTTAATTTTATAATGGGGGGGGGGGGGGGGGGGGGTAGAGCTATGATTCAACATCTGTTTGTATCCAACTGAATTTGTGTTTGTTTGAGATCTAGCTTAACAATAAATGTGTGTTTTTATAATGGCTCTAAGTATAAGTACTACTACTAAGCTGCATTTAGTAACACTATTGAATATATACCATATTTGATATGGCTCTTAAAGTGCGGTTCAGGCTCTTAAAGTGCAGATCAGGCTCTCAAATACCAGTATGAAGTGAGCAGTTACTTTTACTAAACAAGATTCCAACAGTACCCCATCACTATGAAATGTACACCACCCTTACTTAAACAGAGTCTAACAATACCCCAACTAAGCCTACAACATCACCAATAAACAGAAGCTTTTCAATCAACAGTGCTTAATAGAATGTAACAGTTCCCCAAATAACCGATGCTGTAAGTTCCCCGGAATAACAGACTGACAGTTCCCCTAATTAACAGACTGACAGTTCCCCTAACATATTGTGACAATAGTCTTGCTCCCTATTTATCAGACTGGTTTTAAAACACAACCTCGACATTCTGCAAACTGTTCTAGCATGTGTGTGTGTGATGACTAGATCTAGTATAAGTAACAGGTTGTGCTAAACAATAATCATAGCATTCCCCCCCCCCCCATCCTCACACGTGACTAGATCATCTGGTGTCCTATACGCTAGGTACACGCTTATAGAAATCATTAGCTGTATGTGCATTTTATGACTTTGTCTTCATCTACTTCTAAGCTTGTATTTTCGTCCATATGTTGTTTACAATATTTTTTCAGTAACAACTACTAACATTTTAAAATCATGGATTGGTTAGTTTTAAAACCTCTGATTTTCCTACTGTTTCAATTTTTAATACAATCATTTTATTGGGAGCAAATGAGAAATATTTATGATGTATACCATATTTCACAAAATATTGAAGTCCGAGCTTTTGCCAATATGGCAACCTTGTTCGCCTTGTTTAAAGAACTCGGTCAAAGATTGTGTTGTCCTTTTACGAGTTGTGTTTACTCCGCTGTTTGATTTCATTGGACAGTTTTAAAGCCACATTTTTTCCCCGAGCACGATATTACGTATTTTGTTTACTTGTAGCAGAGTTCATGAGTGGGGTCACGGCCGAAGCAGATTTGCGTATGAGTTAAATTTAAAAGTTTGGTTTTAGCTCAACAAGCTGCTCGATTAGTTTTGTCTTTCAGTTCTCTTCTTATGAATACAGGCAAAGAAGAGTAGGTCTGACTTTGGGGGTAGGGGAGGTGTGGGGAGATAAGGGAGTTGTGAAAGTGCGCATTGCATGCTGAACTTTAGCTGTGACCAAGAAAAGTTAGTTAAAAGCTTTTTAAGTAAATCCTATGAATGACCCATCCTTGCGGGACCAAGTCACTGGACGTTGAAGTGTGTGGTGTGTCACATGACACTGTCAGCCAGTCCGCTCTTAGGGTTTGCTTGGTTCAGCCACAGCAATTGACGTCATTCGCTGATCAGCAGTGAAGCATTTGCCTCACTGCCGAGTTGCGAGAGGAAGAAAAAAAATCCCGAAGTTGTTATACTTGCCCGGTGTAGCGAGAAGAAAAAACCCTGAGATTGTGGTACTTTCCCAAAGCTCAGCAAGCCATGATAAACCGTAAATTTAAAAATTGCATACGCCTCTAACGGAAAATATTTTTTTTAAAAGCTACGTGACGATTTATCTATCACGTTCGTATTCCCCTTTGTCCTTCGTTAGCCACTCTCCTGTATTCTTAGGAATCATTTAACAAATAACGACAGCTATTCCTTCAACTAAGAGTTGAATGATTCCAGCAATGCGAATAAACAACCATGCGCTGATATTGTGCGATTTGAATTACATGCTTGTCGCATTTCGCTTATTATTGAATTATTTTTGTGTAGCGTGCAATGAAAACGCTTATTTAAACTTGAAAACGATGCATGTAGTAATCTTTACTGAGCGATCTCTTCTTGCGCCCCTGGCGAACTATTTTGCGGCAACCTCCCCCCACCTTTATATAAATTTTCATGTTTTTTTAAAAAGCGCCCCCTCACAATTTGTTGGTGTAGAAAACAGTTAAATAAGTTCGTAAACTCAAGAAGCAGTTAGTTTTCTTAACTATGTGTGTAATTTCGTAATGCAGTTCAAAATGAGCTTTATTTTTTTTTCACTCCGTTTTGGCGCCCCAACCGCCCTCCCCTAGCTACGCCTCTAAATTTTTCAGTTAATTTAAATCACGATTTTAATATCTTATTAGATAAAAGTTATCGATGTTATCCAAGATAAATTGATCTGTAAAAGATTAGTAAGAAATCGCACAATCAGAAACGGGTCGAAATAGAGATACAAAGTAAAAAAAAAAGCTTGTATAAATAATATTATATCTTAAAACGTGATGTGGTTTTCTATTTATCTTTTTTTTAACTCGCCCCCGTGATTTGAACCCGTGATCACTCGACAGTACTCAGTAAACTCGTCTGCCCGCTCCCGTGTCCACCTACACAGCTAGCTCACCCCTCACGAGACCATACGAGGCTGTTGTGGTCCGCCGTACCTAACTTACAATTAGGACACAACAGTGTGTCCCCAACCGTGTCATTTGGCACGTACTATTTCTGTATTTGTATGGAAGCACTCTTCGGCTAAAGAGACGTGAAACAAGTTTTTTTAAAGTTATTTTTATCCCAAGTTTACGCCTCGTATGAGGACGTTAGTAGGTCAAAATAAATTAGAAAGCAAATATGTGATGTAATGGGTTACCATAGTTTCGTCGTTCCTCTCATTAGTACTTGTATAGGTTTGTCATCGGCCTATTAAGAAGTTAATTGCTGTGGTAAATGTGTCATTGAAAGAAAATGACAAGCGCAGGCGATCGCTTCATTATTTCTATCGCTGACACGATTCTCGTCATTTCTAAATATAGTTACACGATTTACTTACATGCTGACATAAGCGGATTGATAACGGCGTCATATTTTAAAAATAAAAACGTCGGGTTCATTTTTTCAAGAAAATAAAATTATCTTACATAGGTGTAATGTAGCAATAGTGTTTTTGATTAGAACATTTAAATTTTATCTCTTCGATAAAAAGTTGGCCCATTGAAACAATAGATACTATCCATTGTATTGATTTTTATTAATTGATTAAATATAAAAATCACCCTGACCTGTCCGTATACCCTAGTCAAACCTGGACACTACCCACACGGACACATAGTCCTACACATAAACATTTAGACACACACCATGGACTTGAAAACACGGATACATATTCACGGCCTATTATAATTATAGACTTATGGACACACATCACATACACACTTTAATTCACATAAGCTACGCTTACATACGCACGTACTCGCACACATACGTACACTTAATACGTACAATGCCGACTAGACTATATATTATGTATGTCTATCTGTTTTCGCCATACATCTGCCCCCTAACAACCGACTATCGATTACACCAGCTACACACACACACATACACACGCACGCACACACGGGTTGAAAAATTCACCAACGCGCTGACGTCACTGTCGAACTTAAATAGTTGACCGATTGCGTCCATGCGTAACAGACCAACATTCCACGCCAGCCCACGTCAACACGCCCCTTGTCAACATAGGTGAAGTGTAAACAAAGCCCCTCCCCCATTGGTACCTAACAATGTTGGCGGAAGGTGGGTTGCCGTGGACATGGCTTCATTTGCGAATCACCCCGGCAACCAAAATAGTACTGTTTATAGACAACAATACTCTACTTTGTGAATTACCCCGGCAACCAAAATAGTAGTTTATAGATAGGATACTCTAATTTGTGAATCACCCCAGCAACCAAAATAGTACAATACACCCCCCCCCCCCGGTTTAAATTAGGCCATATTGGATCGGGTACTTAATATTAAACGTAAACAGGGTAGTGGGTCGTCCATAGTTGTTACATTGTGTTGCGTGGGGTTTGGGGGGGGGGGGGGGGTAAATGTTATACAACAGCATTTTCTTTTCACATTCTTCTCCCTTGGTATTACAGTATGACATAAATAAAGGGATTTTTATCACAGGAAAATAGGAATTTTAAAAAAAAATGTAGTTTAATATTTTAAAACCATGTTATATTGTACAGTGGGAGATGGGGGCAGTGTTGGTGAAAACGTGATTTATAGTAAACTGGATAAAAATTGAATATATTGTTGTGTGATACATATGTATACATACACACACATAGAATCTTGGCCTATAGTCTTGGTTGTCTATAAATGTCGAACAGCTGTGTAATGTGAATTGTAAAGTGATTTTTCTTTTATTTTTACAGGTAACAGAGAGGCATATAACTGTTGTGTCTGTTGCCTGCTTTTTTATTGCTGCCAAAATGTTGGAGCCTGAGGAGGTAGGTTGGTTTATGTAGTGATGTTAGTTTAAGCATTTTATTTAGTGATGTTTGACTTAGCTTTATTTAGTAAAGTTTGCCTGGACATTTTAAATGTTCAGAAAACTCGTCTGAATGTTGCACTCTTATTTGCCCAAGTGTTCATGCTTCTTATTCCTCCTGTTTGTGTGTGTTTATGGCCACGTATTCCCCTTGCTGGCCATGCATCCCCTTTTGTTTACAGCCCCACCAGTTCCATATGTATTAATTATGGCAACACATTAACCTTGTTTTTGTGGCCACATATTCCCTTTTGTTACAGTCCCCAATGTATTTATGGAATGTATTTACCTTGCGTTTATGGCCACATATTCACATAGTCAATCTCTTTACTGTTCACAATGTGCTTACATCTACATTGTATCTATGGCCACATTCCCCTCGTGTTATGTTAGCTAATTCCATATGTATATGGGATTATATTTATCCTGTGTTTACATCCACCTCGACTCTCTTCATATTATGTTTAAGTCCACCACCTTACTGTTCACAATGTATGAACGTCCACATTGTGTTTACAGCCACTCCCTCACCCCTGTGTTCCGTTTGTTCCAGAGCTGCCCAGACGCCAGACAACTCAGCTTCCAGCATGAGTGGACGGCCAATGACCTGTGTCGCATGGAGCTTCAAATCCTGGGCAAACTCAACTGGAGCGTGTCCACGGTGTCCTATGTTGACTTCCTGCAGCTCTTCGCTGATGTGTATGGGGTCAACCACAACGTACTCAACTGTGAAAAGGTCACCGCACTGGCCCAGAAGTCTTTGTCTAAAAAATCCACAGTCCTGCTGGAGGTAATGCTTGTTAGGTTACTTTTTAAATTACTCACTAACATTGGTGCTTTTGCTAATGGTACCCTGTAACTATGGCTGGACATGCACTGTGAGTGTTCAGGTTAAAGTGTGATGGAATAGCTATGTTGTTTCTTAGTGAACAATAAATGTTTTTAAAAAAAATAACAGATTTATTGGATCACAGGGCAGTTAAAGTAGGGTTAATGTTAAAATAACTCACTAAGAGTTCCAATTATTTTAGTAATTTAAAAAAAAAATGACAGCCTATGGTTAATTGTTTTTTTTTTGTATGAACTATTCCAGTTTAAATTAGTAATTAATTTAAAAAAAAATGCTGGCCCCGTCATTGATTCATTAAGTGAACAGTACCAATTAAATTAGTAATTAACTTATCTTTTAATGATTCAGCCTGCAGTGCTGGCCCCGTCATTGATTCATTAAGTGAACAGTACCAATTAAATTAGTAATTAACTTATCTTTTAATGATTCAGCCTGCAGTGCTGGCCCCGTCATTGATTCATTAAGTGAACAGTACCAATTTAATTAGTAATTAACTTATCTTTTAATGATTTAGCCTGCAGTGTTGGCCCTGTCATTGATTCATCATGTGAACAGTGATACACGCAACAACCCAGCTGAGCAGCAAGTGATTGTACACTGCAATGTAAGTTGGAACTTGTTCCTCTCTTTTTATAGTTTTTGTGTGTTACTTTATAGGGAAGTTTGTTGGAAACAACAAATCTTCAAAGGGGAGTAACCCAACTATATAGGATAGTTTGGTGTTGTAGTTAGAGTTGCTTCAAATTGATAATACATTTTTTTTACTTTCCCGTATATACGTAGTATAGAGAAAGTATTGTAATCGTGCAAAAAAAAAAAATCGAGATTTTTACAAATATCGACGTTTTACACCTCACTGATACGGAAAAACATAATTTTGCAATCTTGTCCGTATGTCTGTGTGTGTGTGTCTGTGTGTAAACACGATAACTTGAGTACTGTTACAGCTAGGTTGATGAAATTTCATATATAAGTATTATATCAAAATCGTAGATCCGTATCAACTTTTGAGCGATTTCCGATAACCGGAAGTGGTACTTTTTCTACTTTGAATTTTTCAAAAGCCTATAACTTGAGTACTAATTCAGATAGATAAATGAAATTTCACATGTAAGTAAAAGATCTAATTCTCTACCTTCTATCAAATTTTGAGTAATTTCCGTTGACCGGAAATACTAATTTACACTATTTCCGATTTCTCAAAAAACGCATGAAAATTTATAAAGTACTAATAATATTGCACACTATTACGCACATTTGGTTTTGGTGCTCGCTTGGTGCGCAATTTTTTTTCTACTAGATTTTATTCTATTTTTAAAAGTTTAAGTAAACAAAAATCATGTCTATATTCCGAGTTGACATCCCACGTAGTGTTATATTAGAATATTCGAGAAAGTTTAGGGGAGATCACTCCCGGTTTATTTTAATTAGATGCTTGTGTACTAAATGATTTTTATTTCTAAAATTCTGTTGTTAAAATAATAAATAGTATTAAGTGTAAATGTTAAAATTAAAAAAAAAAAGTTGTTTAAATTTCAGTCTTGTCTGTAGACAAAAAGGCTGTATGTGTTATCCTCTTGGAGGTTTAAGTAGTGCCCAACAATATCATAAACACAGCTAGTAATATAAAATGTTACAACTGTCTAACCACCATTCAACTCAGCTGTTTATAAAAGAAAATAATTTGAAATTCCAGATTCAAGAAACTGAGCTGACAGAGTGCCAAGAAAACTTGTCCGTGTATGCCTCCACTCTGCTGTCTCTATCCCCAACAAGATTCCAACACAAACTGCCCATCAGAAGATTTGACAAACCAAGTGAGATGGGCATTACCTGTTTGCCAACCATCGTGGAAGAGCCTTCAGCTTAAATATTTAGCATGAAGCTCACATTAAGTTTTGATTTCATGTTTTTAAAATTTAAGCTTTTTTAAAAAACTCATTTAATCATTTTTTTAAAATACAGGCTTTAAATTATTTATGTTTATGCTTTTTAAATTTTACACTTTTAATTATTTTTTTTTTACTAAAACAAGGATTTTAAATATCAAAGTTGTTTTTTTATTACTATAACCAAGAAAGGACTTGAATCTAGAAGAAAATTTGTAAAGAAATATCTGTTGCTGTTATTTGCAATCTTCCTAATATCAGATATGCTACTTTGTGTTTCTTCCAATAACATTACAGAACACAGTTACTGCTTTCAGCAAATTTTAAAAGTAGTTTTCCTATTTTAATTGACTGATTGTGTGGGTGTGGTTAATTTATCAACTCATTAATTAGTTCACTAATACTAATTTAGTTTATGCTTGTGTGATGCATAACAATAAGAACAAGATGAGAATTTGTATGTACGTTAGGGTTGTGGGAAAAGATGATTCTGTATTGTTGAACAAATGAAATGTGTATGATACTATCAGATGTTTGTTGTCTTGTTATACAATTTGACTATGCAGTTTGGTAAAATTCAACTGTGGGTGTATAGTTTCCTAATTTGTACTGATATAATGAGAATATGCAATAGGTATGGTGAGGTCTGATTGTGTGTTGTGCTGTTTGGGTACATGGTATGAGGAGAGTGCAATAGGTATGGTGAGCTTTGATTATGTGTTGTACAGTTTGAATACGAAGTTTGACGAGAATCTGCAATAGGTATGGTGAGCTCTGATTATGTGTTTTACACTTTGAATACAAGGATTGAGGAGAATCTGCTATAGTTGTGAGATCTGATGCTGTGTTGTACAGTTTGAATACAGTTTGACGAGAATCTGCAAAAGTTATGGTGAGGTCTGATTATGTGTTGTACAGTTTGAATACAAAGTTTGACGAGAATCTGCAAAAGGTATGGTGAGCTTTGATTATGTGTTGTACACTTTGAATACAAAGATTGAGGAGAATCTGCTATAGGTGTGAGATCTAATGCTGTGTTAAACAGTGTGAACACAAAGATTGATGAGAGAAAGCTGTTGTGTGATGATATACATTCCCCCCTCGTTTACTTACGTATTAGTGGTTTATCACACACATGTTCTACCTTGCCATTTTGAAAAATATACTCCCCTACTTGTCCATAGTATTTTTGATATTTTAATGTTTTAAATCTTAATATGTCTTATTACATATTGTATCTTATGCAGTCCTGTACCGTATAATCTAATTGGGCAAGATTTGTACTGTAATGTATCTTTTTGTGTGCTAACTTTACTTAAAATGATCTCTCCCTGACTGAATGGATGGAAAGGCTTTTTGCAAATGTAATCAGACATAATGCATAATATTTGAGCAATTAATTTCTCTAAAGTATTACAATATTTAAAAATGTTTCTGTGTGAAATGTTTATAACTATGTGATACAATTGGGCAAAGGGAAACAATGATATTAATATATTACATACTGAAATTAGGTGGTTTTTAGAATTTAAATAAAACAAAAATATCAAATTTTAATTTATTTAGAATTTTTTTTTACATCTTCTTTTATTAAGTAAAGTAATTTTCAAGAGTTTAACACTATTCATAATTACATTTGTGACAATTACTCCTAATTTCAAATTATGTATAGTATAATGTATGTTTGGTGTTTCTATCAAGGATAAAAATGCCAGGTTTTTGCAATATTTAGTGGGAAAATGTTTTTTAAATTATTTTTAAAAATACCTACAATTTTTTTAAAAATGTTTGTCTGTACGTATGTAACATACTGTAAACTAGTGCAAATACTGTATAAAAACCCGTATTTAATGACTGTAAATAAATCTGTGTATATTCATTCTCCTGCAGCTAATCATACGGTGTACACATATGGCTCACTATTCTATCTGGTACATAGAATAGCCCAAACTTCAGTCAACTAGTTTGATATGTGTATAGTAAATTATCTCAACTTGTAGCACATAACTCTGTTAGGGGTTGCTTGTAAATATGTCTAGCATTTCCATGTGTACATTATCATAATTATTTATTTATAAACAAATGAACAGGAAGTGATGTATTCTCTATTAGTGGCTAGAATGTTTTGAATTGGATTAGAGCTCTTGTATGTTCTTGTTTTTTTTTTTTAAATCCCTGCTCACTTATTTTATTTTTAATAGAAAATGTCCCAAAGCTTTTTCTACTTAGTCTATATTTAAAATATTAAAATCAAACTCAAGTAATTTCAAAATGTATAAAAAAAATTTTTTTTTAGCACAGTTAATTAAAATTTTAAAATAAGTTATTTAGCATCTTGAGACTGCTCCTATTATTTTTAATGCCTACGAAATTAAACTTTACCCACCAGATTTGTTTAATACAAGTGAGTTGATTTAAAAAAAACCTAATATTTTTTACAAATGTATTTTTTTTTTTCTAAAATAATTTTTAGGCCTCTTTTTTTAGTCTAGATATATAAGAAAGCATAACTCTTGCTTGAGTTATTTATATACTCAGTTGCGTGCCTTTAATTTGAAGCTTAACATCAAATCTATCTTGCCTATTTATTTAGTATTTTATAAGCAGATGTTTTTAAGCATTATAACTTGTTTTTTTTTTTTTAACAGTTGTAAATCTGCACGAGGGGTCACTTAAAATAAACCAGTTTTTATGTCTGTTGTATACAAGATACAAAGATCTGTGTGGATGATATTAATGATACATTGTTGGTTTACATGAACAATTAATCACTGTTGTTGTTGTGCATATTGTATACAAGAATTTTTTAAAAGATCTGAGTAAGTGATAAATGAATTAATCATGCAATAGGTAATGTTTGATTTCTGGTGCGTGTGTGCACTTGTTGTCATTTTATATATATGTATTATTTATATATATATATATATCACACTTCATTTGTACAACAACTGGACATACAAATAAATATTTATAATGAATGTCATAAATTTGTTCGTGTTATTTACACCCGCTAGCAACGAAAGTATTTTAAATGTTTTATTCAACAAATATTCTTTACAAGGTCTGTATGCAATCAAAGTTCCATAAATTTTAAAGTAAAGGTAGCTGTTTTTATGGAAAGTCTGTAATTTAGACAAATTTCTAAGGCATCAACATAAGACGAAATTACTGAAACCAACTTGCACGATCAGACGTACAGTTATTGTTTAATATACACACTTTCAAACTCCTCTGAGGTTATTGGTTTAGCATTGATTAATTACTTAGCAGACAGGTCCAAGCATCCAATGATATGCAGTTTGCAATTTTCCAATGTGGTGTCACCCCAATCCACTTCTGTCGACAGTGTATTTTGTACTGATTGGTACATTGTTTCATGAAAGTTGCGATTACCTCCCCCCCCCCTCCTACCAATGGATCAATTGTAATTAATCCATCGATTAATTTAAGGTAAAAAACATTTTTATAGTAAATTTATCAGATGGTGTCACCCTATCTACGTATCATCAGTTAAAAAAATATGCAACAACATTTTTCACCTTCTAAATTTTGCAGCTGGTGTCTCCCCCTCCCTTACGGTTGATAGCTTCAATCAGTGCACACTTAGTGGTAACGATGTTTATCTAGAAGTTTATTACTACAAATGGATGTAGAACTGTTTTCTCTATTGGTTACAAGTTTACGTCTTATTGTTCTCTCCCCCCCCCCCCCCCCCCCCCCCCCCCCACCGTTCAGCATCGTCAGTTGTGTACATATTTTATTTTTTTCACGTTTTAGCTTTAATTAATCATTAATTAAACTGGCAAAAATTGTGTCACCCAGTGCGATCCGCACCTTTGCACCTCCCCCCCCCCCTTTCCCCACTCGCGACGCCTCTGAGCTACATTTCCATTTACATATCATTGCAGCACATCATATCCCAATTATTTTTTGTTATTTTTTTTTACCTTTTACAGTTAACGACCTTACGTAGTTCTCACAAGTGACACAATAACAATAAGAGTTATCGTGTCTCGTGTAACACCGCGCGATCAGATAACACTCGTGCGCTCACATGCTGGGCTTTCAACGTGAGTGTGATACGATCATGTTTTGTTGTGGAATGTATTTTATATTTTCACAATTAAAGAGGTTTTTTTTTTTTTTTTTTTTTTTTTTTTTTTTTTTTTTTTTTTTTTTTTTTGAGTCAACTTGAATCCTTGCGCTAACTTTATCCACTAGATTAGAGTTTGAGTAGCGGTAAAAAAAAGACGAGAGCTGAGGAGGGCAGCAACCCAAGGTTCAGTGGCGGATTACTAATGAGGCTGATCAGGCATCCGGCAAAGGCCCTCGATATTTTAGTGTGTTTTCTTTCAGCGTTTTATGTAAACAATGGCTACGCAGACGGGTATAAAATACATACAAAGATTGCTTGTTTTTATTAATTCTTACAATAAAATGTTCATAGAATGTATGTTTGTCATAAAAAAAAGAAATAAAATGTGATGTTTTTTAAACATTTATTTAAATGTCCTATTTGTCTAAGTCATTTCTTTTGTTTCGCTTAGATAATATCTTATGCTAAGGTCACAGAAACAGGTGAACTCTACTTCACACGCTTTTGTGACGATATATTCCAAAGGGAACTTTACTATGTAGGCCTATACATTTTTACACTATTTTATCACAAATTATTTTTTCGCAATTTCGAAACTGGTATTGATAGCAAAATAGTCGCTGGGGTCCTTGTAGAATTTTGAACCAGGGGCCCCCAAAACATTGTGGAACCAGGGGCCCCCAAAACATTGTGAAGCCAGGGGCTCTCAAAACATTGTGAACAAGGGGCCCTCAAAGCATTGTGAATAAAGGGCCCCCAAAACATTGTGAACCAGGGCCCCCCAAACATCGTGAACCAGGGGCTCGTAAAGCATTGTGAACCAGGGGCCCCACCCTAATTTAATCCACCCCTAGTATTATTGCAACACATAACTAAAAGCTTATTTGCGCAGCACATAGAAGAAAAGAAACGACTCTCAACGCCAACTGGTCTTGTAAAGTTTAAGATTTAAAAGTAGGAATACAAAAGATACTGAACTAGGCTGCAGATAATGAAACTCAAGTGTAAACTACTGAAAGTAATATATATATATATATATATATATATATATATATATATATATATATATATATATATATATATATATATATATATATATGTAACGAGTCCCCGAGTCTATCCTGCCGACAACGCCAAATGTAACGAGTCTCTGACTACCCTGCCGACAACGCCAAATGTAACGAGACTTATCCTGCTCGCAGAGCCAAATGTGACCTTCCCGAGTCTAACCACTCATTCCACACAACATTGACCACAGCATAGATACTCGAAGATGCAGGTTCATTATTGATCCTTTTATTACATGAATCAAAGAATGTTTCACAATAATATATTGAATCAAGAGAGATGTTTCACAATAATAGTCTGAATCAACGGACCCCCAACAGTCCTCACTAGGCTTCATCTAACTGAATACACATGTCTAACGTCCTTCTTAACACAATATAACCAACTGGATACTGCCACACAGACTGACGGACTGACTGACTGACTGAGAGACTTTCTGAGAGACACTCCGAGCTCAGCCGTCGCCTTCCTTATATCCCCTTCATAATCGTACTCATATTCGGTCCTATCATAATCGTAATTGTAATCGATTCTAATCGTTACACCAGACTGTTAATTACGCCGCTTCTGTCGTACAGTCCGATTTTAATAAGCCACCTGCATCCTGTCACATCAAAGTTGACAGACCGTCTTTCGTATCGCTTCCCGAGATATTACGCCTTGGCATCAGCCAACACCTGCACTGTGACGTCAGACTGTAACACGTTATGTCTCTTGGTAACTTCCCCTAGTTACATATATATATATATGCATGTACATAAACAATTACTAATAGACAGTTAAAAAAGATCAAACGGTAAAGTCAGCAGTAAATTTAGAGCTAGAGCTAATTTATCAGTTTAGCGTAATTTATTTATAGTAAGTCGGTTACTACTGCGGCGGACGTCGAAAGGTTAAAGATAATCAACTTCCCCTTAGTTGCATGGCTTTAATTACCCATTTTATTAATTAGGTCGCCAATTTATTAGCCGCGACACGTGACACTTTTACCGCAGCTGCAGAAATCTTGCGGCCAGACGAAAAAACGGGGGAGGTTTGATCACGTGACATTTTGTTGCCTAAAGCCGAAATCATGAAACAAGGTGGAAGAATCGGGGAGAGATGTGATCACCGGTAGCTAAGAGAGCCACTCTAATGAGTGTAACTAATTTTTAGGAGAGACTGTCACTAGCTGCAAGCTTACAATGGCTCAGAGGCGTAGCTAGGGGGGAGGGGGCGGGGGGTGCGGACCGCACCGGGTGACACCATTTAGGGGGCTGACACCAAGACAAAAAAAAAAGATATAGAGAAAAACTTGAGGGGGGGGGGGGGAGTGCAAATCGAAAGTTTGAGGGGAGGGAGTGTAAATCGAAAATTTGTCTCCGGGAAGGGTCGCTACGCCTCTGGGGGGGGGGGGGGGTGACTCCATTAAGTGCCGCACCGGTCGACACCCGACCTCGCTACGCCACTGCAATGACTTTCAATGACCACCCACTTGCATGGCCACCAGCATTCAATGGCCACCAGTCTCCTATGGCCAGCACACTCTTACATTCTTGCAAACCTTAAGTACACTAAAAAGCATTAGGTCCAGAGAAGCGCATCCGCTTTCTTCTGCTTACACTTACACTATGTAGGGTAGGATATTTTTTCCTTACTACACTGTGTAGGGTAGGATATTTTTTCCTTATTCACTAACTAGGTTAGGATATTTTTTCCTTATTCACTATCTAGGGTAGGATATTAGTTCGTCTGTCTGTTTGTTTGTGTGTGAGTGCGTGTCTGTCTGTTTCTCTGTCTGTCTGTTTGTGTGGGTGTGTATGTCTGTCTGTCTGTCTGTCTGTGTGTAGTGTGCATGTATGTATGTATAGTGTAATTTCGTAATTCTTTCCATACATTGTTCAACACTCCCCTTATACTCCCTCTCTTTGACACCCCCAACCTGCCAACACTAGCCTACATCACTGTGATGTCATATAGACTGCACTCTGTCCCACTTTAGCACGTGACGTCACATGACGATCCACCGCACGCGATAACACCCTTTCGTCAGCACTCGAAATTATTTTGTTTCGGTCTTGTGTGAATACAAGCATTAACTCATGTATCATTTTTTGTTCTCATGTATTTATCTGCTGATGAATATGTGTAACTGTCTGTTTGCTTATGTGTGGTAATAGTAATATTGCCGATTAATATAGACACATTTGCTGTTTCTATCTGTATGAGTACTATTACAGTGGATTGAGTGGTTACTTGAGGGGTCGATTATACGAACTACTTCCAATAACTGTCTAACTGTTAGACGGATTTTTTTAACAAACTATGCAGGCACTTGATATAAGTTGTCCACAGACTTTCACTTGGGTATAAGAATGTAGGATGGACAGCCGAGGTTGTTAACACGACAGTCGAAATAGTTTACACGTTAGCCGAAATTGTTTACGCGACAGCCGACCACACAACAGCCGAAATAGTTAACTCAACAGCCGAGATTGTTAACACGACAGCCTAATAGTTTACACGACAGCTAAAATAGTTAACTCGACAGCCGACAGCCGACGACACGACAGCCGAAATTGTTAACACGACACCTAGATCGTCAGCCGAGAAGTCAAAACCTGTTAAATTAAATTTGATGACTTTAATGCTTGGAGTACATTAAGCCTCCTAATGAACATTCAAATTGGCTAAAAAAAATTCATTTTAATGGTTGGTAAAAAATAACTGAAAAACGTGTCTGAGGATTTACATTTTTATAGCTGATTACGAATAACAAGCAGTAACGACCTTGGTTGGGTCTATTTTTTTTACACAATTGTGAATTTTAACATATAGGTCTTC